GGAAACAATAACAGCTGCTGCATATCGCCTCCTTAAAATGCATCCTTTTACCTGTAGGCGATGGGCCGAAAACCGGAAAGGTTAGGATGCTACTGCGGTTAAGACAGAAAATTGACCAAGTGTTGTATTTGACGTGGCAAGCTAAAGGAGTTGTGTTTTTAAAAAATACATTTACTTCTCTTTTAGAAAAATAAAGCTCTCTTATGTCCGCAAAATAGATTAATTAGTATTTCAAATAAGACAGCTGACTTTAAAACGAATTTAAACCAAAGTTTTTTGTTCCTAGCATAAAATTACGAACATTTTTATACGCTTCAGCGGAAACCAGACACCATTTTTCAGAAATCAAATCGAATGTGAATTCATTCGCTCCATAAGCCTTTTCAATATATTCCACGTGGATTTTATCCGAAACGAGTTCTATGAAAAAATCGAAAATCAAATATGTTAACAGAGGGAGAGGGAGAAGGGCAGAATGAGCACAAAAGAAAAATAGTAGTGGCATCGTCGAGCGACAAACAAAACAAGCTGAAAAACAAGAAAGGAAAGCTAACTTCGGGCGGAGCCGAAGTTGATATACCCTTGCAGAATATTTTATAAATTATATTGTCCAAAATTATTCATATGATGTATTCTTAATACTCATAAAATGTCCCAACTTCCTAACTTTAAAAACACCAAAGTTATGTCATTTCCAATCGTTCAGTTATATGGCAGCTATAAGATATAGTCGGCCGATCCTTATGAAATTTGGTAGGTCGGATTGATTAGCCAAAAATAAAACCCATAGAAAATCCCAACTTCCTAACTTTAAAAACACCAAAGTTATGGCTTTTCCGATCAATCAGTTATATGGCGGCTATAGGATATAGTCGTCAGATCCTTATGAAATTTGGTAGGTCGGATTGATTAGCCAAAAATAAAACCCATAGAAAATCCCAACTTCCTAACTTTAAAAACACCAAAGTTATGGCTTTTCCGATCGTTCAGTTATATGGCAGCTATATGATATAGTGGCCCGATCCGGCTCGTTCCGACTTATATACTACCTGCAATAGAAATACAACTTTTGGGAAAGTTTCAAGCAGATAGCTTTAAAACTGAGGGACTAGTTTGCGTAGAAACGGACGGACAGACGGACAGACGGACAGACGGACAGACGGACGGACAGACGGACGGACAGACGGACAGACGGACATGGCTAGATCGACTCTCCTGGTGATGCTGATCAAGAATATATATACTTTATAGGGTCGGAAATGTCTCCTTCACTGCGTTGCAAACTTTTGACTGAAATTATAATACCCTCTGCAAGGGTATAATAACTGCAGCTGTTGCAGTTTTATAAATGTGGTTCCCCAAAAACCTACTCCCTCTGCCACCCATCCAAAAAAGATACCTATCCTATCTGCACACACATATAGTATATAGCTTATAGATGGGGGTAGAAAAGACTGGTCTGTTGTCGCTCGGTTGGTTTGCTCTCCACAATAAAAGTGAAATTTTCTCGTGCCAAATTTTGTTGACGGTGGGTGGGTCTTCGGTGGTAACGACTGTTAGGCACTGACACTGAAACAGTTTGTGGATAACTTTTCCGAGGTTGCACAAGCCAACATAAACTAATTGCAACAACGTTTCCGTCCGCTGTGCAGCCAAGAAGTAATCAAAAAAGCTACTTTGATAAATTAAATGAGAACTAATGATAGCAAACTAAAGATGTTCTTCCTCTTGTTGGCAATTAATCAATGTGGCTATTGTTTGCTCATTGCATCCAAGTTGAATGGCTTATTTTGTGTATATTTCAGAGTTTTCATCATTACCGAAAAACACAACAAAATTTTGTTTAAAGAAGCGTACAAATTTTAATTTTACTGCACAGATTTGAAGAACACACGCCAAAATCAAAGTTTAATTTCATTGATCTGATCACGAAACAAAAAAAGTAGGCAAATTATGAGAATGAATCAATAGAATAGGTACATGATTAAGTAATTTTTAAAAATATTCATGAAGTCATAAGTAGCATCTAAATTTATTGTTTCATTTGGAAAACAAATACATTTATATTCCCAAGCCATGATAACGCCTCAGGTTTAGACAGACGATAGGCGTCCCACGGAATGAAATGCGTCATTTATTGATTGCAAATAAATATATGGGAAAGCAACAAGCGACACTGAAGACAAAAACTAAAACCAAATAATATGCAATGCATCATTTGAAAATGAGTCAATAAGAAAGAAATTTCAAATTGGAATACACATTACATACACATACATTTTTGTACGACAAATAACAAAAAATATATACCATATACCAGGTATATATTTTTTGTTATTTGTCGTACAAAAATCAATTTCATAAAGCAATTAAACATTAAACATTTTTCAGTATTCGTTTGTATTTTAGATAATCTAACGACAAGTTTAAACTTTAAATTAATGAGCATGTAAACTTACGTATCTGATAGTAATTTACACCTAACTACCAGTACTTACTTAAAGTGTGTAAATAATAAACAAATGCCAAGAGTTACAGTCCCCTAAAGAACAAACAGCAGGTCGTGGGCCTTTTGCCATATGCTCAAGAATGCACGCTCAGGACTGATAACGCTGAACCCCTTTGTTTTTTACCCTTATTCATTTAAAGGAATACAGCTGCGGTCAGAATTCTAGTATAAGGTAATGAAAGAAATATAATATTAGAAAAAAATACATTTTAAACAAATATTTTTGCATTCTGCGGCGATAGACCGGAAAAATAATCTATGTATGTATGGATTTGCGCATATGTAAAATATAAATAAGAAATAAAACGTATACTATTTTTTGGCGGCAACTGCATTCCCACTTGTGATTAGATTAACGCCCGATTTTAAACGCCCCATCCGTGACCATGAGTAATCTAGCTTTAAAAGCTACTGGGTCAACACTTTTGGGGCGGCGTTATCGGTGCAGTTGAAAGGGAATACTTGTTGTATGAAAGGGGCAACTACTCAACCGCTTATCTCCGCGGTAAAATGTAAATAAATGAAAGTTATTTACGCGGATTTGACACTTCTTGAGCTTGCGCTAATTCCTCAAACTAATTGACACAGATAAACGCGTAGAAATGGATCTAAAAAACCTGCAGTACGTTAATGAAATTAAAAATAGATCAACAGCTGAAAATACACGGTGTGTGAGCGAGAAGGAGCAGTGGCAAATAAAAGTAGCCAGAACAGTCAAACAAAAGCAAACAGGGAAAAACAAGAAGGGAACAGAAGAACACAAAGAACTAGAACATGGGAAATCAGAATGGAAAATCAAATGGGCCTTCTTGTTTGTTTGCTCTTCACACTTGTAAATCTCGAATATGTTAACCAGCGACGGGACCTTCACGTTTTAGCGCTCTATTCGAGTTGCTAGGCAGTTGGAGTCGAGCAAAACAAAAAATATGTAACTTGCACGGTGTCTTACCACATTTGCATAAGCTCTGCGAAGGAGACCACAACAAAAACAAACGAAAACGATTTTTACCGATTTATCAACTTCACGCACTCTAAACCATCAACTTTCTTTCTTTTCTGACCTTTTCAGATCTTTTTTGATCACTTTGGCTCACTTTTCACCGCTTTTTTTGTCGGTGCAAAATAACTTTGGAATATTTGGTAAGCACTTAGCGCATTTGTTATTCTTTCGGATCGGCTTCGATTTTTACAGGCGTCGCGTTCTGTTGCGCGAATCCGCGTTTGTTTCACCGATTTGGGTTGAGAACTATATAGCGTAGTATTCGTGTGCTTTACAGGATCCCAAATGGCGTTTATTTAACATTTTCTCCCGGCGAATTGTGCACTTTTTGTTACTTTTAGCGGAGCACCGAAAACACGAACAGCGCGGATGAAAACATTTCGATTTGAGTGGGTGTTCGAGCGCTGCAGCCGCCTTTTATACCCTCGGTGAAGGCGACTCAAAATCGCTCTCCCGCTCTCCCGCTCTCTTACTGCGTTTATACGAAGCAAATTTCAAGCATGTTATTCTTGAATGTGTTCCATTCCACATGAATATTTATTATGAATTTAGTTTCGACATTAAATATTAATTTCAACATTAATGCTGTCAATTTAAATAAATAATTTAAAATAATTAACGGATAAACAACTGAAAACATATCGAATTAAAGAATTCCTGAAATTCGATGCATAAACATAATGAGTAAGATTCTCTCATTTTTTGCGCTCAAAATCAAGAGCACGAATGGCATTGCACAGTGGGCTGTTTTTAGTTAGCAAATATATATACCGATTATACAGATCTTAAGTTTACTTAGTTCCTTGATGTGACTTATATTAAATTATATTGTTTTAATTACGATTTCTAGATTATTAAAAATTGAAATGACATAACATTTCGGCTTTCTAAAAATCATTGAATGTTTATATTGATGACTTTTTTCCGCTTATGCTAACGACTAATAAGGTTGAAGTTGGTCACAAGAACGTTTTGTTGGAAAAAACTAAAAACTAAGATTTTTTTTGGGTATTATTATTTGTAACCTATACTTTTTATATATACTTTTTTTTGGTACATCTCGGCTTGGCAAAAATCAGTGAATGTTTATATTGATGACTTTTTGGTCTTGGTGGAATAATGATAATAACATGTATTTTAGAGCCCTAGTAATGAATAATTAGGTTGAAGTTGGCGAAAAGAACGATTTGTTTAAAAAAACTACAAATAATACAATTTGTTCACATAGAGCGCTCGTTTTAAAATGTCAGTTAGAAGGCAAACCTTTTTACCTTTTTTGGTAAAGTATTAGTATTAGCTTTTCGTAAAAAAAGTAATAGGGAATCGGCGACAAGTCCGATCATAAGATTGATATTTTTAATCGTTACCATGCCCCTAAATAAAATGGATCCCTACAATTTAGTCGAGTCCGGAGGTTAAAACTTGAGTATAGAGTGCCGGACCTGCGAAATAAAATGCGGCATCATCGTTGTGTTGCCAGAATGAAATTGGGTGATTAAATAGTGTGGTATAATTGTGAGCCCAAATCATGGTCACACCAAATACTAGACCTACCTTTGTTGCAATTTTTTCCAAAGATACACTTCCGCTAGATAGAAATACTAGAAATCATGTCTGAATTGCAGGTGAGCCGGGAAAACTTCTTGCAACTTTTATCTGTATGCTAAAGAGTATATCTTTAAACGACAAACCAACAGGAATTTAACCAGGCGGCCGAGGATGTGAAGAACCTGAACACCACACCCGCGGACAACGACCTTTTGGAGCTATACAGCCTGTACAAGCAGGCCACAGTGGGAGATTGCAATACAGGTGGGTCTTGGACATCATCGTTATTATGTCCTTACCATAATAAATCGAAATCCAATTCAGATAAACCCGGATTCTTGGACTTCAAGGGCAAGGCCAAGTGGGAAGCATGGAACAACCGCAAGGGAATGAGCAATGCCGACGCCCAGGGCGCCTACATCGCTAAGGCCAAGGCCCTGATCGCTGCCGTGGGTCTCAAGTCCTAGATTTAATCACCAAAGGATATTGCATTTTTAAATCTCAGTTGTCGTGAAACGCACAATCTTCGATTTTCCAGTGTTTGCACAAAATATAGCATGAATGTGTAACGTAAAGCATTTAATTTGTCATAACGGGAATGGTTATATATTCAATTATATAGGATACTGTTTAGGCTTCCGTGGGTGAGGCGGCGGTGCTGCCCTGGGAATGGCGCTGTCGCTCGTACACCTCTCGCTGCAACTCGCGAAGATTAAGCTCCAATGTCTCCACTACTTCGAAGTTCATGTCCTGGCGCGCCTGCTTAATGTAGCCTTTGATGATGTTGATCTGCTCGATCAGCGGATCGTCTAGGCTGGACTTGCTGGCCGCTTGCGGTGCAGACCAGTTGTTCAGGGATTGAAGATCAGACTGGGAAGCAAATTAAATTGCAGATATAGTTTTGCCAGCAATCTTAAGGTACTTACCCCCTGAGCAAAGGAACCGCTTTCTGGACCCGGGACTGCTACTGCCGATTGGTTTGCAGCCAGGTTGTTGCGCTCATAGGCTTCCATGGCCATACGCTGCTCCGTCAGAATACGCTGCTGTGTCTCCATGCGCCGACGCTCCTGCATCTGACGAATGTGCGCCTCCTCCGGTAGTGGTGGCAGTGACAGCATACGTTCCTTTATAGCTTGGATGCAGCTCAACCGAATAGCCTTCTTCAAGGCTTCCTCTCGGCTGCCTGGCTCACAAAATATAGCTAAGATGCGCTTGCTCCGCAGGTCCATTGTTTCGGCCACTTGTCCAATTTTGCCGCGCAGAGCACCGGCATCCGCCAGCGTAAAGATGGTGTCCCCTTCGTTTAAACTATTAATGATCTTCAGATACATGTCCAGATCGGGGGTAACTTCCTTCTGCAACTGTCGGATCTGTTCGTAAACCTGCACGAGAAGGGGACGGCAGGTGCGACTTTCGTGCATGTCACGACGCGTGTCCAGTAGCCAGAGACAGTGCTCGCACAGCCGGATTGCGTTCTCATGTTGATGCAGCTGCTGAAGTGGCTCACTTCTTGTGGTGGAGAGACTGGCCAGTTGCACTGTAAAAGAAGAGATTAGCCAATATTTTAATTAAAATTTGTAGGGCGACTAACTGGCATCCTCCAGGGGTAGGAACTTGGAGCAATCGTTGCACATGATTCCCCCACACAAGCGGCAGTGGTGCTGTCTCCTGGCAATGTGGAAACTCTTAGCGCAGCTGGGGCACAACTTCACGGAACTGCCGTCCAGCCAGGCTACTGTTTGCTGCTCGTGCTGCCTTCGCTGCACTGAGTCCGCGGGCAAGTCCTTCAGCAGACGATGCAGTCGAATAATTAATTTGTTCGTTTCGCTGGCATATCGTTCCAGGCGGGGATTTCGGATGGTCTGGAAGTACTCAAAGTGGGAGCACTCGGCACCCGGCTGCTGCTTGGCCATGTGGTTGAAAACGTTGAGTCTGGAGCGAGCATTACTGGGTCCATTGCGATCTCCGTTGCCATTAGGATTCTTCGCAGACGCCGAAGAGGAAGAACCTCCGGGTGAGGGTGCGGAGGGTACCCTTTCGTCATCAAAGGGGTTCAGGATCTTCTTTTTTGCCTTGGTAAAGATGTCTTTGAAGGACTTCAAGGTCGCCTCCTCTTCCGCGTGCTGACGGGCAAAATGATCCGTGAGCACATCGATGGACTTGAGGTCCGCCCGGCAAATAGGGCATAGGAAACCCTCCAGGATCTCTCCGCTGGCCGAGCTTTGGTCCTCATCGCTGTCAAAAGGATTCCCAGACATTTCGGCGATGAGTAATCGTGGATTATTTGGTGGGTGTGCTTTGTTGTGGTTTCCTCCCCGAAAAACAGTTCGTATGGGTTTGTTTCACCTGTCCTAAGGAAATGGCATGACGGGGGAAACTTTTCCTTGAGTCCTCCACTAAATTTAAATGACTAATCTTTCAACAAACTAATTAATTTAATTTTTTGCCAAATATTTCCACAAATAATCAACATCAGTTTAATCTTCTTCATGCCAAATGGGCAATCACCAGAAATGTTAAGGATAGGGCTGCAGCAGGTGCGGATATAAACGTTCGTTATTTCAGAATTAAGCTCTTCGTAGGGAGTAAAAGCGGTTTGGATACATATTTGTATTTTTAAAAATATCGTGGAACTTCCTGCGTATGTTTATAAACAATATATTTATATTTAATCAAAGCAAACATAACTTTTGACAGTTGCAATTACAAAATTCGTTGAATAAACTGCACTCATTGCATCCCTGGTCGAAAGCTCTTCGTGGTGAATGTCAAGCGCGGGAAGAAGCAGTAGTTGCCTGCCTGGAAGTTTTCTCGGGTTTTCCGCATAAAAACAGACGTGGGTGTGAAAATCCTTTGAGAAAAAAGGTCTCTAAGCTAGCTTAGTACCTTCAGAACCCCTACGCATTGAAAAAACACAATATAAATCCCCTCTTCGGCCGCTAACATGTCGGAAAGATCGAAAGGTGACGTGTCCGCTCGCATAAACAACAATGCAAACCAACCGACGCGTGTCGTTAAAAATCCGCTTTTAAGCGCCTCCGTTACCGGGCTTAGTTTTGACGACTTTCCCAACAAGCCGCAACTGCTGCCCGCTGCTCCACCCGTGGTCCATGCCACGCCCCCGGCGCCCGCGCCCGTCCTCATCGCTGGCATCTTGAACCGCGGTAAGTGGGTCACGGTTCGCTCGGGAATCCAACGCGGGTGGGGGTCACCTGTTGCTCGGGTACGCCAATGATAAGCTGATAAGGCAGGAGCTTGACCTTCTACCCCTAATGTTTACTATGTTTTAAATTAGCAAATATCAAGAAATGAAATGAGTCAGGTTTTGTCCTCCACCAAGTTTGCTTATCATCAATTAAAATCTTAGGCTGGATACTGGTTTAAATATAAGAAACTAGAATGAAGACTTAGCATTATTTAATCAGGAAATCTATTATGTATTTTAAAAGACTTCTAGTCCGCGTTGTGAACCAAATCACTAAATAAACACATTTTTAACCTTCATTTTGGTTAGTATTACGGGGGATCTAGCTATAGTCGTTTTTTTTCCTCCTCTGATCTCATGTTTGGCACACTTTTAAAATGGGTTAATGTGCCTTAGACTATGTTTTCCCTGATAAGCTGCAGATTAGAAGCAACTGAAATATTCGTTCATTGTAAAGCTTTTAAAATTTAAACAATAAAGCAGAGTTTTATACATTTCTTACAACTGGGTTAGTACTGAACTTAAATGTAACCCGTTGATTAAGGTCTCTCAAAAAATCTCGGGATAGTATTTCCTATTCATAGTTTATGACTCTTCTATCTCTTATCAAAATAAGCTTTCTTTGCCATTGACCGTGCGCGATAATCGCAGAAAATATTTGTTATGGTTTATGGTGGCTGATAGCAAATTTAAAGGTGCGGTCCGTATGTCAAACTGTTTAGTGGTTTTTAAGCCAATCCATTAAAGACGAGACTCCTAAAGTGATTTTTCCATGGCATTTTAATTAGACTCTATCGAGTCATTTTCAACTTGCATTTGGCATTTGGCACAACATAACACAACAACATTCTACTCCATGCTCCTGGTGGAGTGGGATCTATATGTGGGCAGCTCTAGCGTCGTTTTCCTCCGCCGGCAGCACCACACAATGCTCCAGATGAGGGCAGCGATCAGCAGGAGAAGTAAAATAACTCCCAGACAGATGGCTGCGATAGCGGCCTCGCTCAAATACACATCTCTCACATCGATGGTGAGGCTCCTCTGATTGCCTGCCGCATCAAAAGCCACAAGCGATACCTTTGGTTCACAGCAAGAGGCCATGTAGGTGGCCTTCAGGGGTTCTGTGCTCCCAGCGGTATAGTAGTTCCTGTAGAAAAGACCCTCGGGCGGCGTGGCCTGCAAACGCAGCATTCCCGACTGCCAGTCCTGAGCGGTGACATCCAGCGTCCAAAAGCGCTCCCCACAATTCAGGGATTCGGGCGTGAGGTAATCACAGCGGCTGCCAAACTCCCAGGACAATGTAGGGCCAGTAGAGTCCTTAAGAATATGGATTGGGCAATGGGTTAATATATGTATATATCTTGAGTAATCTGTAAAAGTGCAGCTGACAAACCTGAGCATCTATGCTGGTCACCACTTTAAGGTTAACGGCCAGGGTAGATGTTTCGCGACCATAGTTGGTGAAGGTGATCCGGTCTGTTGTGCCCTGAGCCGTGCCAGTTGGCACTAAAACGGTCAGACGCACTGTACCCGTCTCCAGTGCGCGCAAATTCAATCTATAAAAGTTAAAATCACTTAATTATCAGATTGAGTTAGGATTACAGCACACTCACCTGGTGGGATTCAGCTGTACTAGGAATCGCCGCTCGTCGGTGACTTGAATGGTGGAGTAAACCGCCTCAGATTTCATGTTGGTGACCTCAAAAAGCAGCGAGGCTGTCTGACCAGCCGTCACCAGAAGCTGTGATTGTGTCCCTAGCTCAATTTTGGTGCCACAACGCTGGAGAAGCATTGCATTTAAGGTGCTCCTCGGCTGTCCCGTGGTGGCAGCCAATAGGGTTTGGTTTAAACTCGGAGAACTCTGGATTTCCTTCTCCGAAAAAGTTTCAATTTCGTTTTTTGGCGAGTCCACATCCTCCTCCAGCTTCTCGGTGTCCTTTTCCTTGCCGGGAAACTGGATTCTGGCCGACTTGGCCTTTGTTTGTCCGCTTTTGTAGTAGCTATCGATTCGTTTGATTATGTCGCCTGTGGGGAAAGAAATAAATCATAAGAAAATCAGCCTGGCACACGTGTTTTTGTCATTATATGGAAATATAGCGATGATGGCGTCAACGCTGACGTTTCCATCCAAGGTTGAAGCGCGGTTATCAGCCGAGATTTGTATTCATTGGGGCAAACAGAACAGATCCCGGGATCTTATCACTCGAAACAGAGCCCCAAAAGCAATTCATTAGCTAATGGGGACTCAGTTCTGTGCGGGAATCAATAACGCCAGGTTGTTTGTTACTTTGTTTTTAAAACTCACCCAAAAACACATCTGCTTTTCTTTCGGCGCGTACGAAAACATTGTATTTTACATCTAACTCGGCCTGTAGTTTCAATTTGAAGATTGCCGCGCGTCGCAGCTTGTTAAGTGGTACGTAGGCATCCAGTTCTTGGGGATTCGACGTATCCGTGGAATTAGCTCCGACAAATTTGACCAGTTTCTTCAAATTTATCTCTAAAATAAAGTAAACACAAAAATAAACAAAAATCGAACAGCTGTTTGCCATTCACCGCGCAGCACGAACATCTGTTACAGGTGTTTGCCCAGCGTTGCCAGACCTTCGACGTCAGTTTCTCTTTTAATTAAATCATCAAAATTGTGCAATAAACATTCAATTTGTTAAGCAAAACGTGATTTTTAAAACCACAATGTTAATTATTAATTAGCAAAAACAAAATAAACACATTTTGGCCTAGTCAGACGTCAAATGCAACCCCTTGGCAACCCTAGCCTTGCAGCTGCGCCGTAGTTGTTGTGAAAGGAAACACGTCTACAAGAAATCGCGACAAAAACAATTGTTTTTCCTTGTGAAACCAGCGAATTACGAACCATTAAATGCCGCTAAATTGTTGGCCAAGAGGCATTTAAATTACCGGTCTAAATAATCGTTGACGACATAGCCTTAAAGTGTTAAAAAGCCTACGAAAACTGGGCAGTTTTTGAACTTGCCCTTGACAGTGAGGCGGATTGTCTAATTTTGTTGTTAAAAAACGTATGTATTTATGTGATTTCCACATAAAAGTGCAATTTTAAAACCAGTAAAATAGTTGTAAAAGAAACAAAGCTTAAAAGGCTGATAAAATGCCATTAAAATTGTAGTTTTGGTTCCTACATATATTCCTAGCTGTTTGTCAATTTGGAATTTGCATATATTATGGCCAAAAACCTAACAAATAAGTATGTGCGTGTGATTCTGTGGTGTTTTAAATTTAAATATCTCGTTGGAAAGGTCACAATCAAGTTGAAGTTGAGGCAGGCAATAATGAAAAAACAGCCCCAAAGAATTGATTTCTTCAGGGTGTACATATATGTATTGCATGCGTTTGTATTAGTAGCTTCCGGGAGATAACTTTGTTTATAATCGCCGTTTCCAAAAGTTATTAAAAGATTGCAATACTTTCGCAAGTTTTTTTTTAGCTTGTCCGATAAGTCCCTGTTTTGACTGGAAACGTTTTGTTCCATCATTTTTGAGTCATAATTGTTTTTTGTCTGACCCCGTACAATCTTTTCTTTATTGCCTATATACAAAAATGGACTTTGTCCGGTGGTTCGACGTGGCGTATGATTAATATGTGGAATCGCTTGTTATATTTGATCCATTCTCTAAACCAATCTACGTTTTTAGTTAGTCAACAAAAACATTTTGTGCCGGACAGTTGAAAGTGCTCTAAGATTAAATTGGATCACAGAGATATATTTTAAAATACTCACCATTCAGGACGAAACACAAAAGAACTAGAACACAAAGTGCTAAGAAAGTGTTAAGGTGATGTCCGAAAATGCATAATTTTATAGCTTCACACACAAAAGAATCGACTTCACCTTGTGAAATTGTATTACATTTATTAATACGAATTTATTTTGAAAGAATGCCCATTAACACTCATCATATAAAATCGTTATCTTCTGTGTGGTTAAGTGTTAAATCAGTTTACTTTTCATCGTTTTCGATTTATTTGTGTACCCTTAAAAGCTAGACATTGATTACTTTATATCTGTAAAACAATAAACATGTAGATTGAAAATTCCTTTGTACTACAATTAAGTGTTAGGTGTTCTTTTGTTGAGCATTATTATTATACTAGCGTTTTGGTTAAGGAAAGCGTAGGGACTTCGGCTATATACAAAGATCAGCATAGCTGATTTGGGATTAGAGAGCATTGATTCTTTAGGGGTTAGTCAAGGATCTTACGAGCTAAGGACATAAATTACACAGTTGTACAGTTGTTTTTCTTTCTGGGAAGTTATTAAAAGCTTGTGCCATTATCAAGAGGATTAGACTTAGGATCTAGGTAGGCTTGGCACAGACTCGTACACATTTAAGTCGCTAAACACTAAAATACAACCCTGCGTTAGTAAGTGCGGTAGAGCAATGGAGTCGGTGCTTGGAAACTCGATTTTCGAGAAAGACTAACCACCATTCGGCGTCTCCATCGTGGCCCGTCTCATATTCGCATCGATGCGCACATGGAGACTGGACAACGTCGTGTCCACCGGCAGATCCAACTCTTGGACGCCCTGGTACGCATCCGCCACCAGGGTGAGCTGAAAAATACAGACAGGTTAAATGACATGCATATGTATAAAAAGGGCCAATAAATAATATGTTTCCTATGGTAGGATAAATAGTAGTTTAATTAATAAATTTGACCTTAAAGAGCAAGCCAAATACTTAAAAGTCTCCTTCTTTTTTGCGTTCCAAAACCCCCAGCTCAGGAAATTCAATTATGCTTATTTCTGGTTCCGCATTGCAGAATTCGAGTACAAAATACTTGATTTGCCATTTTCGCTGTGTGGGTTAATTTCGGCATTTTTGTCTAGACTTCCTTTCTATCATCAGATTTGCCCTTCACTTTTCTTTCCATAACCTAGTTTTGCAGTCGCCGCACAGCAACAAAAGATGCACCATCATCGACAACAAGTCGCGGGGTCTTGAGCACCACCTGCCGCCGTTGCCGCCTGGCCACTGGAGAGGTAATCCAAGTGGCTCCGTCTCAGTTGGCTGCTTGGGCAACACTCGGCTGGATCTGGTTGCCACTTTCAGTTTCTCAACACTTAGGCCTTCCCCGCCGAATCTGGCTTTGGCCCGCACACTTTAATTACCCCAATTGCGGGTCAGGTTTGCTGGTTATCATCGCGCTCATATCTCACCGTATTGCCAGCTATGTGCTGTCCATGCTCGGTGCTCACGATGTGGATGATCTCTCCACCCGATCGAATGGCCACCTCGCCCAGGATTCCGCCCACTGCGTCCTCCGTTTCGTTCTCACTGCCCGATCGCTCACCGTACCACAGAAGGAATAGCTGAAAAGATTCAGGGGTTTATAGGGGGCATTTTATATTGTTCAAGTTACTTCATTTATAACATTAGGTATTCCTTAAACTAATATGTTGACAAACTCACCCTGATCCTCTTCTTGAGCAGAGTGATGGCCGCATCCTGGACCAGTTCCGTGTGCGGTGGAATCGCTGCAGTCGAGATGAAAACGGCACTATCGTAGGGAACCAGCTCGGCCGCATGGAGCACGCCCACAAACGAGTTGCCGCCCTCATGCTCCTTGGTGCTGTTCAATCCAGCGATAAACTCGCGGGTATTGTTAAAGCTGAAGGCAGAGGGGGCACCTATATAATTCAAAACAGTTAGTTAAAGTTGAAAATATCTAGTTCTCTTACAGAAAGATTCCTTTAAAAGTATTTACAATTCAGCTATGAAATAGTAATCGAAAATAATATTAATAATTCAGTCACTTTACTGGTTTTAATATGTGATTTAAAATGGTCTTAAATATATTCAAATTTAAATCAAATTTATAGACTACTTTAATATTCATAGCTAAGAAACTTTACTGGTTTAGGAGATTAACTGATTTTAAAAATAATTCTAGTTCCATAAACATGTAGAGGCTCCCAAAGATTGTTATGATTATGGATTTGGTTGACGTCTTTGGGTATGTTAAATGAATTATGATTAACGATTCTAGTGACTTACCCGCTCCGTTAAGCGTAACCAAGACAATCTTGATGTCGATGTTCTTGTCTTGCAAAGCATCGATGTAAAGTCGTTTTGCTTGCTCCAAGGATGCGGAAGATGGATCCACGATCACTGCCAAAGGCATTCGAATATAAACATCCTTGATGTAGTTGCGCAGTTGATCCGCTGGCAGTAATTCCGGCTTTGAGCCACCGGTCACTTGGATGTGTTTGGGTTGTTTCCTGGGACTGGGCGTTGTTGTTGATGTGGTTGTCGTTGTTGTTGTCGATGTGGTTGTAGTAGAAGTTGTAGGATTGGCAGCAGGAGGATTGGGTGCCAGGGTGGTGGCCCAGGGAAAGCCACCGAAACGAGCTCTTAGAATTGGCAAAGGTGTGGTGGTTGTGGTGGGACTTGACTTCTTTTCCGCCGGCTCATCGTAGTAATCGTCCTCGGAGGAGTACTTGAACGGATGGGGTTTGTCCTGACTGGGCAGCTGTTGGACTTGAGCCTGGGGAATGGGCTCATGTGGCTCTTCTTGCTCATCCACCGGTTTGGTGGCCTCTTCCTCCACGTAGTCGGATGCATTGTGCTCTTGATCCCGCTGTGGGAATCTCTCCGCCTTGGCCTGGCGCACATATTCGGGGATCATGGTGGTGACCACCCTGGCTGTAGTGCTGGCCACCACCTCATCCTCGGGAGCGTCCTCGTAATAGTAGTCCCGAGGGGGGTTGTCCACCTTTGTCACCCGCTTTTGCGTTGGAGTATCATCCATTAAATCTCCGACTGTGTGTTCCTCGGAGTAGGGAGCCATGGTGTTCAATCTGCTCTCCATGGGCCTCATGGTGCTCATTTCCAGCTCGATGGTGTGGGAACTTTCGGTTTGACCCTCCTCCAAACTATTGCGATGCTGTTGCATTTCCGATTCCACCTCGGCTTCCAATTGAGCCGGGTCGTAGATCTCATCATTGCCCCCCAGGCTGGATCCATCCATTTCGCCGCCGCCGCCGTAATCCTCATCTAGGCAAAAAACTGCGGGACTGAGGTGAAGTGCCACTAGGAGCACACCCAGCCAAAGCTGCGTTCTCAAAATCATTTCGTTCGTTAAATGCCTCTAGCAATCCTCACTTGTCACCATCAAAGTCTGCGAAGAAAAAATAACCGAGAAATATGTCAAAATACAATTTTTGGAAAGCTTTTGAGAGTTCAATGATTGATTGATTGGCTGACTTCTTTCGCTTACTTAATTGACGCAATTATTCATTATTATTTCGAGTTCACTTTTGTTGAACCGTTATTTTTAGTTTTTATATAGTCTGGTGTTTTTTTTCTACTCTCTGCTGTCTTCTTTTCAACACTTTCGCAATGTTGAAAAGTGAAATGTTATGACTGCTCGTTGCTATTATCATTTTGTTTGTTATTAAAATCATTTTAAATAATTATCTCTGACAAATCGAACATTTATAGCAAATTGCCAGAGCAGAAATTAGAGGAAATTTCCACTTAACTCTAAAATTCTGCAGAATTCGTTAGTAGGGTTGAGTTTCAAGTTCGAAAGTTTTCAATATTAGTAAAAGAAAGAGGCAAGTTAGTAAAAAATACTTTCCAATAATGGTAAATAGCGAATAAATACGGTGTAACCGTTCTATTTCCTAGGAAATTATACTTAAATATAAGCTGTAAGAAATGACTAACTATAAATATCATATCAGAGTTAAAACTTTCAGGAAACAAATCAAATAACAACTTGATAATTGTATTAAAACCGACTTTGATCTAATCTGCTGTTTACCTTGTTGGAAAACGAATCTTAACTTGTTTCATAACTATATATCAATTCAATTTCAAGCCTTTGGAAGAAACTAAAACACTTGTCAAATGTATAGTAAAAAGATGGCCTTATTGCATGAAACTTATCCAAATAATTTAGTGGAAACAAACATAAAACACAAGTAAAACCACTACTTGGTGATGAAATGTTTGGCCAAATTCAACTAAGAGCCCAAGTAGCTCGTTGGAAAAAACCGGGTAGGGTATTAAATATATATCTACAAAGATATGGTCAAGGTTTTGTTAAACCTGCTGCAGGTGAGGAAAATAGAAACACAAAAAACGAAGACGACGTTGACAATAAAACAAATTTGCCATAAAAACGACTTCTCGTGGATGTGTAAAGCTCACACATGTGAATTCATTTATGAATAAAAATAAATGTTTAAACTTGATTAAAGCCGAAGGGAACACGCTAACTTTGTGGCTTCAATTTGCTCAATTTATAATATTTAATTAAGCAAATGTAATTAACACATTGGTTAAGTCGGCGTGCAAACGTTTTTATGATATGCCATTTTCCTTTGCATTCATCGTTTGTGTATTTAAACTTTTTGTTGCATTTTTGCAGTCGATTTGTGTTGGAGTTGTTTGAATAACAACATACCCACAAATCAATTTGAGTGATTGATTTCTTGGCTCTCGCCTCGTGATTTGCAGCGCGAAGAGTGCTTTGGGGAGGGGCGTTTGCCCCCTCCGAAACGAGCAGCTGCCATTAATTAACAATATGCAAAGCCGCAAAAAACAAGAAACAAGTAAAACAAAATGAAATATACCGTCAAGTTAAAATCCAAAATGTATCGCATTGATGCGTAAAATGGAAATAAATTAAGTTAAAATATTCTGCGTTCGTTTTTCTCGTTTGGCAGGCAGCCTGAATCAACTTCAAATTGATTTGTACATTTTTGTGAGTTGCAAGGTCACTCGGTTGGCGGTCAGAGGGGAATCATGCAATTTAATGGCTAGAGCTTAGGCCTCTCTTAAGGTCTCCCCGTTTTATAAAGCTTAGCCATGATTTATACGTAAAAGACACGTTCGTCTGTCGTTTCCATCTTAGGTTTTTATCGGTTTAAATGTTAAAAACCATTGCACAATCCCCATTCATAAGTCATCTTCGGGTGAATGCTGTGCAGCGTTTATTTTTGAGATTCTCAGAATCTGCAGGTCACGTAGTTCTTGAGAAGATTGCCTCGAAGCCAGGCAGTCTCCAAAGTTCCTACAGAAATTGAAAGTTTTTCGATGGAAAGAAAGTTTTGACAAAGAACAAGTGTGTAAATTTGATCAAAAAGTGAAAACTTTTTCGGGGGAAATTAATAAAATTAATAATTTCATTATTATCCCCCTTATATGTATATAATTTAATGAATACCATTTTAAAATAAATACTGACTAATTTGGGCAACATAATTGCTTGATTAGAGAGAGATATATTACGATAATATAAGCAATGATATAAAATATATTTACATATGTATTATTTTTAACGTAATATCCATTTAATGGCTCTTGTACTTAATTTTACACCGAAATGCCATTTTAAAGATAGCCGTGATTAAAGTGGGCCTTAATCTCCATTGCAATGAGGCTCCTCATTATTTATAGGCTATTTGATTTGTAATCAAGGAAAAGTGCTTAGATAAAAAACCGAAAAACAAAACCCGCTGTGGCAGTTCATTAATCAGCCACAACAGCCGTCAGCAGCTGATTCGCAGGGGCTCATAAAAAAATACACAGAGCCAACATAAAGGTTCTATAAACAAATTAGAGAGGCGAGCACGTTGTCGGTTTTTATTTATTTACATATTTCTTTTCGCTTTTTTGTTGCTTTTGCAATTACGTGAAGTCGGCGAGATGTGATTAACAGACGCGTAAGCATTTATTTTCGCTATGATTTTTATATCACTCGGACGTTATTCTGCCGTTTTTATGGCCGCAACAAATTAATGAAAAATAATTGCGAAAATTATAAATTCAAATTGCGTTTGCTTGGCAGCCCCTTTATCCCCCTTTCGTTCTGACTAGCCCCTTCGTGTCAGCGGAATCGACTTGAAATGCACTCTAATTGTGGCAGCTTTATTTGACGATCATCAGCGATGAATACTTATGGAAAGGGGACTGGGGAGGGCGGTCCCTTTGGAGAACCCACGCGCATTTATTGTTGATTTTCTTGGCATTGAAAAACCAATTGATTTGTTGATTTTAACGGGCGCTGGAAACCTTTTGAAGGGTTGTACTTGGCTTAGAAACAGCAATTAACAATCATAAAACTAAAAGCATTCAGTTCGAACAACAAAACCTTGTTGTCAGCCAAGTTTAAACTTAGATTGTTGCATAATAATAATTTAAAATAAAATTGATTCACATTTTATTCTTTGCTGAACTTGATTTGTTCCGGCTTGCTTTTGTTGTTTGAAAATTAGATCTGTATTTAACTATAGTTTACTTCTCTTATTTTTGTTACGATGTGTTTACCTTTTTCCTACGTTTTGTTATATGGTTTCAATATTTTTTTTAAACCTGCTATAATTAATTCTTTCACTTGCCTTTTATGGAACACCTTGTCGACGTGGCCTGGGATCAAGTCAGCTCTCCAGCTTTTTTTTTAATACTTCTTATTAAATGTTTTGTAAATTTTTGAAATTCAAAACAAATAACTTAGGCAACAAACTTGTTTTCTCCTTGCTGTGTGCACGTAAAAAATCTCAATGAATTTTAATTACACTTTAAGCGGTGCACTTTATTTATGAGTTTTGCCCACTTCTTTGCATTGTTTATTAACTTTGCAGATTATGCAAATTACGACAACAACAAAACACCACCACACAGAAATTCACTTGCAGCTGAAATTTACGCTCGGCAAATTGCAAGCGACCAAAACAAAAAATGTATAAAATTAAGAGCGTTCGATTTTCGGCTGTGTATTGGATTAACCCGTTTAAATATATATCTCATGCGCGACTTGTAGTTGCTTTTTGCCTGCGATTTTGGCCTGGCCGCTTAGTTTGGCAGCTGCTGTTTTTGCTGGCGATCGCGTCAACGTCTCAAATGAAACTGAAAGCAGAAACACAAGCTGCGGCCAGCGAAGTAGCGCGTTGCTCATTGCTACTCAGCTCTGATCACCTCAACTCAACTCGGCTCAGCTCGGTTCGGCTCTCTTTACTCGGCCGACGTAGCAGGTATATAGCCATGGAGTTATGGCTATTGCCATATGGATACAGGTTGGAATCTAGAAGAGCGTGCCACTGATAAACCAAAGCAACGTGCTGGAGCAGCTGAGCTGATGCCACAATTGGATATGTTCATGACACGATTGTTTGGTGGCAGCGCCATGGAAATATCTTCGGTCAGTTGGCTGTTCCCATAGTATCATCAACCTGTTATGCAACCAGTGCTATATCATTCTCAACACCAAACATGCTGATATCACAGCTGAAATGTCAAGATCTTATCTTGATTAAATGTAATTAATACAGAGATTTTAACTTAACCTATTTATCATCAGCTAAACAGGGCTGTAAATTGTTATTTTTAGCAATATTAAAAATTAAATCATTTCCATCTGCAGCTTTGAATATTAAGAGTAGATTTTATAATTTCAAAAGTGTGCTGCAATTGATTAAATCTTTAACTAAATTTTAACAAATGGAATATCGTAATATATAAATATTCCTCACAGAACTACAATAATTATTTTGTATTTATATGACTAATCACATTGATATTGTTCTTTGAATACCAGGATATGGGAGGCAATGGTTTCAGTCGAAATTCCCATTCCTTCCGTTCGAAAATGGTCAATGAGTAGAAATGGTTCCGATTTAGAATAGTTATCTGAAAAGCTGATTACTCGCTCCAAGTTGTCTGCAGCTTTAATCAACTTTTTGTGGAATTCCGTGTACACATTAATAATCATGTTCGTTCGAAAATTATGTAAGGGTCTGGTAAGCTCTTGCTTTTTGGCGGGAGACCCTGTTAATATTAGCTGACCACCAAATTCATTGAATCCTCGAAAATATTCCATCTTCTGTTGCACAGAACCAAGATAGGCCTGCATGACTCTGTGTTAGCCATACTCAGGATATAGCAATAGTGCAGTAACCATATTCTCTAGAAGTCTTTTCATCAGATTTACTGATTCTTCCCACTGGTCATCTTGAATTGTCCGAGGGAAAAGCATTTCTTAATTCTTTATAATTGACTGCGAGTTTCTCAATGCAATCTACTGCTTTATTAGGAGTTTATGTAGTTTTTTCAATATATAGACTTTGTCTGTTAACTTCAATATGTATAGTAAAATAGAGAGATGTTCTACAACATCGATGTACTTGTGCTATTTTCTATTTTTTGGATTTTAACCAAAAGAAAAGCGAAAAAATCCAAGATGCGGAGGACATTAATTTTATTGAATTGTAAAGGTGGGAATACATTTTACGCTGCTTTTATAGGCTTGGTTTGTTTGTACGCTTAAGATAATCATTATCAACATCTACATACAATGGGTCACTAAACTGAACTCAAGCATTATCTCAAAAAAACCTATGATTTACTGTGTTCTTAAACTTATTTTTTGGGAAAAAAATACGTAAACAAAATTTGTTCAAGTTCAAAATTATTAAATTTTGCGATTTTCGGCTGGCAAAGTTCTTTGCATGTTGACCTTTTTTTGGGGGAATCATTATGGCAAAAAATTACCGCATTGGGCGCATGCAAAGTGAATAAATAATCGTATCGGCAGTCATCAAAATTCATGCAAAAAAGAGCGACTCTGAACTTGTGTAGGAAGTTCGACTACCCGACTGGACGGCACATTAAAATGGAGCGTGGAATGAATTTAATATGACAACTCCGACTGTCAGTCGCTGATAGCATCAATAAAATCATAATAAATACAACCGCGTACGTATATAGTGGGCCAGTGTACATATTTGTTTATTTAAATAGTGTATACGGAAACGTTGAGGTTTCCCTCCTCTCTTTTTCTGTGAGTAATAAAGGGTTAAGCGGGACTATTTGCTTTACCTGTACCTTATAAATTCCAAAGAAATTAGTTTTAGCAAACGTTTATTGTGGTCTTGTCACTCAAGGCAAGAAGTACCTGTGAGTACCGAGAATGTAAAACAGAGCGAAACTATTCTATTATTTTGACTATGAATAATGTGTGGCTCGAACAAGAAATTTTTCTTGTAGAACACTTTTTATTGTTATTCCCGCAAAACCTTTGGATGTTCAACAAATTTGTAAACACAGCTACGCTGTTTAAGCACAATGATTCTTTTAAGCTTGTAAGACAAATTGTTAAGCGTCTTAAGCTTGCTTTGATGTATTTTTCATGCAAAATCGTGCCCATCTTGACCTACGTGCTTATGTCGAAAACTTCCTAATACTGTGGAACTAGGCAGAAACCATTGAACCACTCTATATTTGGTATTGAATTGCCGCACTACGTTGAGTTATTAAGTACTACATTTGTGGTTTCACTGCGAAGACATGGGCATTTGGTCAAAGTTCTCATTTGGTAAGAGATTTTAAAAGTGCATATTAAAAAACCTTGTAAAACCCCCAAAAATAGTTTACATAAGTTGATGTGTTTGTGCAAACTTAATCTTCTTGGAAGAAGTTAAAGTATAAGCTTGATTTTCCTACTCTAGTTTATTATTTAACTTTATTAAATAATTTATATCGTTGCTTTTTAATTTTGGAAAAAGCCGCAAGGGTATATACGAGTAAAAGTCGAACGAGGCATCCAAGGAGTTCCCCATATTTTGAAAACAAATTTATTGCATCGAGAATTTATGCAGCTCACGCAATTTTCACTCTGCGAATTTTTTGCTTGTGTCGTGCTTTCGTTAATAATTATGCAATCAATTTTGTTTCTCGCCTCCTTCTGCAGTCGCTCCTGCTTTCGGGTATTGCTTCAATTAACAACTTTCCGGCATCGAAAGAAAAACCCTTTCAATAAAACAAATTAAATATTTGGCAATCGTTTTGTGTCGATTTTGTTGATTATCGTTCCATTTGCCGCTTGTACGGCCTGTGATTTTGTTTGTGCTGTTGTTCACATATGGATGCCGAGGCTGGTTTAATTTTATGATGAATATATAAACACGTACGCATGTCCCAAGAGTGTTAATCAAAAATTACCAACTTGTTTTCGCAGTGGCAGTCAAACGAGCCTCTCGAAGAACGAACTGGTGCAAGGCGGTGTCAGCTTTTGTTATTTTCGGACTGATACCGGTGCTGATGTCACTGAGTCCTTTGCTTCACTGTTTTAATCCTTTTGGTATTATTTCACTTGCACTGGGTTCACTGGAGCACCTGTGGATCACTGCACGACTGTCGATCGACTAAAACAAACTCCACTAATTACTGACCTTTTTGTACTTGTCGCAGTCGCATGTGCTGTGTGCTTTTGTGGCTCATAAATTGTTTAAATATTGAACAATTGGTTGCAAATGGAGGTAGATAAAGTTGAAAAGGAACGCCACACCTCGTGCCACTCAATCGATAAGATAGAGTCATAGAAGTCCACAATCGGAATTACCCGGAGGAAGCGAGATTGTGGCAGATGCGTCACGGGTCAGTGGGTGTGGCAGTGGGTGGCTGACACAATTAGCATACTCCGAGGTGCCTCATATGCCCGGGGCAAAAACCCGAAAAATACCTTCGAAAATATGCGAGACCCGTCACCTTTTTTCCCTGAATTTGTGGCTACCTGAGTTTGTTGCCTAAGTCTTTTGTTAGTCGCTCCTGATATGATGCACCTACTCCAAAGGGTAATGTGATTTTGGTAAAGGATTGAGGGAAAACTTAAAGAGAGTCTTTCGAAAATGTTATCAACTCGGTATCATGAATAATAAATATTAAAATATACAAATTATTTATATTGCTTATATACAAAGCCTTATGTGTATATAGTATTAATCTGCCAGACGATGCGAGTCCCGTCACCTTGTTCACCAGAAATTGCAACTACCTAAGTTTGTTGCTCAAATCTTTTATTACTGGGTCCCGGAATGATGCGATTCCGCCAAACGGTAAAATTATGTTTATTATAATAAAATGCAGGTAGGTTACACATACTTTTGGAGACCTTGCAAAAGTCTACATTCAGGGGTTCCTATAAAAACGGTAGAATAGTACTCAAGGTATTCAGTTTGTTTAAATGCATTGCAAAATGCGTTCCTGTTTCATATTTATTTCGCTAACTCTGCTGGTAAGAATTTTGTCTTGAGACATAGCATCATTGAGTTGATTTAATATGTAATCCTAGAGTCTAACCAGTGGCTTTCCCTCGGAATTGGGAAATAATTGCGAACTCTTGGAACATGTTGCTACGGACGATACGTGGAAAAATATATTTAATAACGTCAAGAAATCTCTGGAAGATGCCATAAAACGTGGATCGTATTCTGAAAAATGCGCCTCCCATGTGGAATTTCTGCAAAGTTGTTTAGATCGCGCCACGAGCATTTCTTCTCCAAAAGAACAAATGCAGTATGTACTTGAATTTATTGACTACCAAAAATGCATACCAAAAGGGAACCAACTCGTACGCACACCTTTTTAGGAAAAAATGTCATCCATTTATTTAGGAGAACTGTAGATAAACTTACACAGTTAAGCAGAAAACTTATAAATGTTTCCGAAAAAATAGATGATAGATTGGGCAAAACAATCTTTAAAAGTAAGCAATTTCTTTTTGGACATAAAACATAAATGTTTTATATACTAACTCTTTGTGTCAATTAATGTATGTGAAAAAACCATAGTAATTGATAAATGAAAATATAATAATAATATAATAATGTTTTCAAAAGTACCATATATTGTATTTTATCAAATCTGAAGTTATCTTCTTTATTAATTAATCTTGTTAACACATAACAGTAAGTTTAGTTATTATTGGTCTGCAAACAAAACTCTGGCTTCAAGAGGAATACCTTTGGGATAGAGTATCGGCAGTCGAGCCCAGTTTATTTTTACTATTTAGCCGCCGGGAGCAGCAGACTGGCCGTCGTCTCGAGCAGCTTCTTCAACATCTCCGGCGCGTCGCTCAATTTCCAAAAAGCACGCATTTTATTGAGATTTATTTTGATTTAATTTCGGTCTCTTTTTTTTTGTTTTTATATTTATTTCTTGGCCTGGGGGTTCAATGCCAAACATTTTTGCCGTCTTCTGTTTTCTTTTTTCTTTTTTTGTATTGTTTGAGATTTTTGGACCGCGTTTTTGGCATGCGACCTGCACGAGCCTTTGGCCAGCGTTTAAATCCCCAAATTGATGGCAATCTTTCTTGGGGCAGCTTTACGAGTATAGTGGCATTGTTTGTTGTTGCCTTGTCGAATACATATTATGCTTGGGTATCCTGCAAATGATTTCATCGTGCTTGACGTGCTCATGTGGGCCTTAATTGTTTTATTTGAGTGCCATTATGTGCAGGCACTTGGGACAGAAAGACGGACCCCAGAGTTGGAGTTGAAGATCTTTCAGATGCTTCTTCTTTTGAGCGCTGAAGTGCCCGAAATCTGGTTATGATGTCATGCCCAAAAGTAAAACAAAAAATTCTTCGACTTTTTTATGTGTGTTTTTTTTTTGTGGGGGGCAATTTGAATGAATTATGCTGTTCTACTTTTTTCCACCTTTGCGGTTAGACGAGCGACCGTCTATATTTATTTTAACACATTTGTCGTAATGCGTCATTGTCACTGCGGGCATTTGTAAATATTAAAACAAAAAACCTCCTCAAGCTCATGCTGAAAACTGGAAATTTTTCGTCGTTATTTAATATTTTCCAAGCCCCACCTCAAGCAGTTGCTACAGCTAATCTTTGCCTAGCCGTTACAAATGACGACCCTAAAAGTGACAACAATAATTCACTTGACGCGTTCATAACTAGCAAAGTCGACAATGTCAAGTGCTTTAAAGTGGCAAAAAAATACACCAACAAAATAGTTAGTGTGTATATATATTTTTACTAAGCATTTTGTTAAAGAAATGGAAAAATACAAATTTTTAGTTCAATTTTAATCAATACTGTAACTTATAAAGAATATTAAGTTTTTTAAACATTTGAACCCTAAAGTATAAACGTTTGTTTTAAAACGTTGCATCATAAAATTTTTCACTTTTTTATCGGAATTCCTGCAATGACTTTATGTTTGTATTATCCCTCAAGGGTAAGCCAATATTTGAGTTTTTCGAGTTGTGTTAAAGATTAGGCTAAAAGCAAAAGTGGTAAACATAATGACTCAATTTACATTTAAAACATGAAAGAACGCTGAAGTAAATGTACACCTAAGAAAATGTACTCTCCCAGTAAATTGCATTTCAGTCAAAATCTAGTTACAATAACTGGATTGATTAGATAATGAAACTGTAATTTATTATAAATAATATTAATTTTTAATTATTTCCATCGAATCCATACATTACATTTAGAAATCTCTATTATTTCCATTCTATCGTTAAAATATTAGCATTTTAATGGGATGCTATATAATGTCTTAATAACTAACATGTATGCAAGTGATTAATAGACTTGATCGTACACAACGAAATGGAAATTACTCCGGCGAAAAGAACACTGAAATGTAAATGAGTAATGTAAGAGACTATTCCGGACGCATCTTAATGGTTCTCAGACCAGCTCTATCGGTTTGAAATCTAACTCGCTTAATTTTTAGATCGCATATTAAATCCCAGAATTTACCATATTCATAATTCTAAATCATTGGCTGTGGCGCGGAATCTGGTTATGCAGCTGCGGCAAAAATTCCAAACTCGCTCTTAAGTATGTGAACAATGCAGTTCTTAAAATAGTCTCAAGTTGAGGTGTGAAAACCTTTCGGCCAGCAATACTCGCTTCGGATCCAATCACGTTTCAAGATCGAGGTGAATTCTTTGACGTATTTGCTGGCCAAATGACACGTTTGCCATGTTTTGCGGCCAATTGCTTTCATTTCACATTCATCGCAGTGCTTCTTCTACAAATGCCATGGCATTTGGTGCCGCTAATGTCAAGATTTGGCTTTTTATGACACCCCCAATGCATTAGAAAAAACCCGGTTTGGATTTAGAGTGTGGACTAAGCCCGCTTTAAAACAATAACTGACCTGTTTGTTTGCCTGCTTCCCAAAGGTTGTTGCTGTTTATTATGGGTTATTCAAATGGTTGAAGCATTAAAACAATATCAAATTGGAGGCGGAAACGATTTGCAATGAGTATATTAAATAAAAAAGTATAAAAAGGGTATAAATGGCTAATTATAATGATGCTAGGCATCGGGTGCGTCTTTTTCCATACCTCTTAATCTATATATCCAGATCCGAATCAACTTCTGATTCCAAGTACGAGCACGTAAACCAGTTTAAAGCGGTTCCGTTTTTAATTGTGTTTGTCCGCTGGTCGATTTCAATTTGCATTCATTACAGGCCATAACTTTTGTGTTTTGATTTATATTTGTTGTTTTTGTGCACAGAACGAGAGTTGGGAGCTGGCCCCACCCACCCAACCACTTCCGAGTTAGCTTCTAAAGATAATTGAATATTAAAATTTATCAGGGTATAAAATCTCCTGATCGGTTTTTATTTATAATATTTTATTTTTTAATTTGTTTCTCTTGTATTCCAGAACCGAAAACATTGGTTACCGTGGGCCAGCCATCGAGCATCGACGACAGCGAAGCGCTCGACGAGATTAACTTGAACACTAGCAGCGACGATTCAATCAGCGCGGGAGGATCGAGTCCATATCGAGGAGCAGGCGATCAAAACGCCAATCCTCTGTTGGAGCCACCTCAGGAGGCTGGCAACGATTCGCTGCTAAGCCAGGCCGCCTCCTCCTTCACCGCTTTGCCCGCTGTGGCCTCCAATGTGTTTTCCACCTTCTCGAAGCGAATCTACGCCGGCAGCAGGGAATCCTCGGAGGAGCCCAAATTTGAAATCCAGCCCACTTACATTCAGCAGGCTTCCTACGCTCCGCCAGTAGCTCCGGTACCCGCTCCCTTTTACGCTGCTCCTCCAGCGGCTGCGAATGAAGTGGTTGCCCCCGAGCCGCCCAAGTTTTACGCACCCACTGAGGTTCCTGCACCGAACATAGGAGTTCCTGGACCACCGCAAGCAGCGGCAAATCCCAACACTTATCGGTTCACCGCCAGAAAGAAGCTTTACGCTCCCATTCCCGGACTCTCCGAGCGATCCGGACAGGCTGGACCGTTTTCACAGGCTCCTCAAGCGGCTCCATCGTTCCAAACACCACCATATCCGCCTCAGCCGATTACCACAGCAAACCCAGCACCCTTTGACATATCAACTCAGCCTGCGCCAATTCCCGCAGAGGAACGCAAATCCGGCGGAGGACTTTTCTCACTGACCAGTCTCGTGCCTACGGGAGTGTTGCAGAACATCTCAGGACTCGTGCAATCTGCCACAGGCCGAATCAGTGAGCCAGTGCCTCTATCGAATCCTCCACAGACAGGAGGCTACTTTGACATTTCGACAGGACCACCAGCTACACCGACGAACTTGTTTGGGGGTCCAACTCCAGCTCCACTGTCAGGAGTTAACTATTTCGTACCGGGTGCCGCTGCATCTTTGCCCGATCCCACTCCTGTGGGAAATTTCTTTGCACCACCTGGCCCACTGCCTGGAGTCCCATCATCCGGAGTAGCTCCAGTCGCTGAGGGAATATTCACACCGGCTGGTGTTCCCCCAGCTGTAGGAGGATTTTTCACTCCTGCCCCGGCATCGGTCGCAGGAGCCATTCCACCTGTAGCCACACAAGCTGTTCCAACAATACCTTTACCTACATCAGCACCACAAAATCTTTTGTCAACATCTGCAGCAGGACCGTTCTTAAATCCTGGACCAGTTCCTCCAGTTACATCATTTGCAGCTGTTCCAACAATACCTTTGGCCACATCAGCAGAAGGAACAGCAACTTTCCCTCCCACATCGGCAGTAGGAGGGTTCTTTACTCCTGCCCCAACCTCTTTAAATCCGAATCCTTTGCCAGGAGCACCGCCCGTAGCAGCTGCACCACCACCAGCCGCTGGACAAGCATCTTATCGCCTCCAAAAGGGCACTCGTCTCTACAAGAGTCCATTGACGGCACAGGAAACTGCAGCATCTACTGGCTTTGCTGCTCCTTTGCCTCCCACATCTGTGCCTCCGGCCATTTTCAACCCGTTTGGAGCACCTGTTCCAGGACCTTTCAGTTCAGTGGGTCAAAGCACCCAAGAAGTGCCACTCCTTGTACCGCCGGTTTTCCAAGAAAAAATAACTGAACTCTCGGCTCCTCCACCAGCTGTCATTGCAAGTGCTCTTCCGCCAGCAGCATCTATTGCCCCTCCGCCAGTAGCCTCTGTTGCAGCTCCGCCAGGATCATTGATAGCAAGTGTTGCTAATCCACCTCCATCGGCTGAAATCGCAAGTGTACCCCTCTTTGCTGCACCTCCAACATCCTCCTCGGGTATACCGTTTTTCAATCCACAAGCGACAGACAAAGAAGTACCAAACGAAGCTTCAGCTGGACCTCCGACTGCTTTGGAAGCACTGGTTCAAGGACCTCCATTAAACCAAGGAATTCCCTTATTTGCGCCCTTATCCACGGCCAGCCCCTTCTTTGTTCCCCCATCGTCGGAAGAAACTAAAGAGGAGACTCAAACTACTGTAACCGAAAAGGAACCACCTAGCGTTTCCTCAGCAAGTGACAAACTGGTTCAAGAACCATCGATCCAAGGATTACCATTCTTTGCACCACCGCCTCCAGCGACAACAGGAATAAATCTGTTTACGCCGCAAATCAATCAGGAGAATAAACCATTAAAAGAGGAATTCAAGCAGTCAGAGATTCAAGAGGCGGGTTTAACTGCACCACAACCAGAAACAACTCAAGGTGTTAATTTGTCAACTGCACCACCACCGATATCTTCAACTCCCAGTTCCTTCTTTGCTACCCAGGAAGTTCCGTTATTTTGTCCTGCTGTTATCGAACCTGTTTTTGAAGATACTCCAGCAAGCAGTTCGGCATCGAGTGTTCCACTCTTTGCGCCCACAAGTGAACCAGATCAAGAAGCTGATTTCTGTCCCGTTCCATCCGCGCCAGTGGAAGCAGAGATCCCATTATTCGTGCCAGTGCCAGCTTTATCGGGACAAAGTCAGGGCGTACAATTGTACCCACCACCACCAACTGGATCCACCGATCCCAGCGGGCTCTTTGCTCCACCGCCAGCAGTTTCAAGTGATCCATCGCGCATTCCTGAGCCTGTAACATCAGCTGTTTCGTCGTTTTTCGCCCCTACACAAGTGGATTCTACTAATTCATTATTTGCTCCGCCTCCGGCTGCAAATTCTGCAATTTTCACACCTGCTCAGCCGACGAGTACTTCGTTGTTTGCTCCCATACCAACAATCCAATCTACACCAGATCTGGTTCCAGCGACATCGGCTGAGATAGTGGATGCTCCACCTGCCTTTCTTGGAACACCAGAGGCCAACACAACAAATCTGTTCCAGAGCAACTCCGTGACCCAAACAGTTTTTAGTCCATTTGCACAAACTAAAGCTACACCTTTGATTCAGGAAACTGCACAGGAATTGGTTCCACCTCCAATCGGATTCTTTTCACAGCCGACAGAGCCCGAAACCCTTAACCACCCACCACTTGCTCCCTCGCCCTTGCAAAGCTTCTTTAACCCGGCACCAGGAGCAGCTCCTTCCGCGGACTTTAACTTCTTTGGAAATCCAGCACCTAGCAGCGTGTTTCCTGATTTGCCAGTCCAGCAGGGAATCGCCCCGCCACCGTTGGCACAAGAGCCACCTCCGCAGGCTGGTGACTTAAATATTGCCCCAGCTCCTCTTGGATTCGACTTGCTGAGCCAATCCCAGCAAGCGCAAGACCAAACACCAAGTTCGATTGAAAATTCGTACCCAAATTCAAGTGTCAGCTCTTTCACCGGCTATTTTGGTGGCCCCGGTGTCCCTCCGCCGGCATCAGCCGCACCTGAGCCAGCTGCAGCACCAGAACCTGTTGCTCCAATTATAAATTGCGATCCGGTCAACTTCTTCGATCAGGTGCCCCAGACACAGTCGCAAATCCAACAAGCCAACGAGGATCAGCGGATCCAGAACTTCTTCAACAATCCGCCATTGCAAGATCAACCTGCTGCACCAGGTGAACTTAAATACGACATCGTGCACAGTGGAGTGGCTGTGAAGCAGCTGCAGGAGCGTTCGCAGACACCCATCTCCAATCTTGTTGAGCCACCCTCGTCGGCCTGCTCCGAGTTCTCTACCGTAGCGCCAGCTCCCACGCAAACCGATCGCCAATCAGGCGAGGATCTATTCCAGCAGCACCTGGGTGAGTTGCCTGAGGAGATCCTCAGAGAGCTCAGGATGGCCACTGCCAGCAGCGATAAGGGCCAGGTGGCGACACCTCCCGTGGCTATAGTAAGTTAAACAAATACTGGAAAATACAAAAGCAGGTTATTTAATCCCCATTCTTTGTAGTCTTATTCACCAGTGGTGGTTCATTGGTTCTACAAACGCAGCGTGGACACGAAATTCTTATGGACACCATTCAGCCACTATGATTCAGCCTTGTTGGAAACGGGGCTAAACCTTGGTAAGTCTACAATAAATCTCTTTAAAGAGGAAATCATCTAAAAAGTAACTCTCATTTTCAGACGATTCCACATTGATAATTCCCGTCGAGGGTGGTCGCTACGATGTGAACATCAAGGAGCGGACCAAGACACCCGTTTACTGGGAGGGAAAGGCAATCGAGGTACGACGCTGCTCTTGGTTCTACAAGGGAGTTGACTCCAAGTATGTACCCTACACCGAAGATACGGCCGCTCTGCTGGAATCGGAGTACAAGCGATCTACAGAGACTGGCGAGTGGCATCAGAAGATCATGCTGGCCAACGGCGAGCAGGTGGTCTTCCACGGACCCACCGTCATCGTGCACTTCCTGCCGCAACAGAATGCGGACACTTGGGGAGCTAGCACGCAGAGCTCCATGCGCCCGCGTGTGGTTAAGAGGGATCTGGATGATTTCACCATTGAACAGGGGGAATCACAGCGAGTGGATCACCTGCTTTTTATGGTTCATGGCATTGGATCAGCCTGTGATTTGAAAATGCGTTCGGTGGAGGAAGTTGGTAGGTTTCTTAAAGGTATGTCGTGGAATATTTACTATCTTAAATTCTTTTGCAGTGGACGACTTCCGGGTTATTGCCCAACAATTGGTTCAGTCGCACTATAAAAACTCCACGGATATGGGCCTAGTTGGCCGCGTGGAAGTCTTGCCCATCTCCTGGCATGGTCACCTGCACTCCGAGGAGCTAGGCATCGACGAAAAGCTTAAGTCCATCACTTTGGAGTCAATTCCACGTCTGCGAAACTTTACCAACGACACGCTGCTCGACGTGCTCTTCTACACCAGCCCGAAGTACTGCCAGAAGATCATGAACACAGTGGCCGATGCACTAAACGACGTCTACCTAAAGTACCGAATGCGCCATCCAGAATTTAATGGAGGCGTCTCGTTGGCAGGACACAGTCTTGGCTCGCTAATCCTGTTCGATCTACTGTGCCATCAGGAGCCGCTCAAGGAAAGCGAAGAGGAAAATAAAGTGGGTTTATCATTAGCAACCAATAATATATATTTATTATAAGCGAGTAATTTATCCTTTAAGGAGAATCCCGATCAACTGCCGCAGAAGCAAGCCTACCAGAAGGTTCAGCTCCCGACCAGTGACCTTCTGCCCAAACAAGTCAGCTACGCGATGGGACCGGAGGGCACTGGCCAACCCGTGATCACATATACGCAGCTCATATTCCACCCGAAAAAGTTCTTCGCTTTGGGTTCGCCCATTGGGATGTTTGTAACGATTCGGGGGATCGATAAGCTTGGCCTTGATTTCCACCTACCCACTTGTCCGGGCTTCTACAACATATTCCATCCGTTCGATCCGGTAGCCTATCGGATCGAGGCGCTCGTCAATCCAGACATGAATGGCATTCGCCCGGTGTTGATTCCCCATCACAAGGGACGCAAGCGGATGCATCTGGAGCTCAAGGAGACAATGACCCGGGTGGGTGCGGACATCAAGCAGCGGTTCATGGACACATTCAAGACCACGCTGGACAGTGTAAACTTCCTGGCCACGGTGACGAAAGTGAAGAAGGAAGCCGAAGAGTCGCTGGAGAAGGAGACAAGTCAGGTGAGTTCATACATTTTAATCTCCGCGAGCCAGTTCCAATATGTAACTGTATTCTAGACCTCTTCACATGCTTTGCAAAAGCAAATCGAGGATCAGGAGGAGAGCTCAGTGGCCAGCTCATCCGGCAAACTACGAAATCGGTCAGATTCCAACTCGACCACGGCTTCCGATCCAGAGTTTATAGAACTTGACTTCCCGCTGGGAAAGCTGAACGACTCGAAGCGAGTGGACTACGTGCTCCAGGAAGCACCTTTGGAGTTCATCAACGAGTACATCTTTGCCCTGAGCAGCCATGTGTGCTACTGGTAAGTGATACTCTCGCTCTCTATCTACCATAAGAATTTACTGATTAAATGTTGTTTTTTTTTCTCATAGGGGATCCGAAGATACGATCCTTTTCGTGATGAAGGAGATCTATGCCAGCCTGGGCATCAGCACCGACAGCCAGGTACCGCAGTCCTCAATGACCATCGAGCGCCCGGTCTCTCACGAGAGCAGTGTCAGCAATTCGCTGTTGCCGATGTGAGTCCACCAAACCACACGAGCGCTCTGTTGGATCCTCCGATCCCACGAATCACCCACACCATAACTATATATATATTTAGTACCAATTTATTTAGATATGTTATTTGTTAGCCGAATCATACAAAGAATTTTCCATATGTGCAACTCTAACATGGTTAATGGTATTATCAAAGTAAGAAGTCTTTATCGCTTGAGTGACTAATCCGTAGCAAGTTCTCGAGCTTAACAAATTGTCATTTATATTCACCGGATGAGCACCGAAGAGTGCTGTTTGTTATTTTTGTAATATCGCCTGTGTAATTGACTTTGTAACATTTATGCTTAACAAAGTGTATGTCTAAAGTTTTTAAAATAAATAACATAACCGTTGTTTTCAAATTTTGCGGGTCTATTTATCGAGGTTGCTGTTTCTTCTGTTTATCGAATGCAAAGCCGATTACTTCCTGCCTCGTAAACGGTATGTACTTTATTGATTAGCTGCTTATTTTATTTGCGGTGCAGGGTTAAGTTTTATCGACTTACAAAATTAAATTACTTAGTTATTATTATATTATAGAGAATTAAAGATATATGACAACGTATTTCCTTCTTACTTCAATACAAAATTGTACAAACAGCGTGGATTTGAGTGTAGTGCACTTAAAACACAACATGAACAAATAATTTAAAAACTTGAAATTAATGGAAATAATCAAAAGAATAACACTATATCTTATAACTAAATATTTTACAAAACACAGAAGACTCAAACGCTACAAGACCGTTCAAATATACTACAGACTCTTCAGGGAACTGTGGAATTTGGAACATAAGGATTGTTTTATTTTTGATTTTCTCGCTATTTAGACAAGTAATACAAAACTTTTAAATGCAAAAACTAAAAAAAAGAAATATATAAGATTTGGGAATGTTGGAGGTCTACGAGTATTTAAAAACTTCATTAGAGAAATCGGGACTTTACAATTTTGATAATTGCTCCCTTTACAGAAATTTGGGCAATATGCGCGCTAAGCCATTCTATTAACCGTCAATGCAAAAGCTTGTATTGTCAGAATGTTTAATTAAAATAAAACTTAATATAAAATGCCCATTCACGACATTAACCGAATGAAAACAGGGCAATTTTTGATGCAATTTCTTTTTTAATTAACACAGCTCTTGCAGAGTTGATGCCAACACCCACGCTGCCTAATTAGTAATTTACAAAATTGCGTAAAAATTTTTAAAGTACATTTTTAATTCATAAAATTTTTTATTATAATTTTATTTTTTTTATTATATTTATTTCTTTAGAAAAATATCGATATAGATTGTAAGGCACTAAGGCAACCCTTAACTATCGGCTAATGCTCCATCGCTAGGTGTGCCCGCAGTTGTAAATTAGCAAAAATTTTATAGAAAATAGTTCGGCCTGCGATTGTAGTTTGTAATTGTTCAATAAAAAATGGGCAGTAAATTTTTCAATAAGCTTTTGCTGATTGCCGGATTTGCCAGCTTGGCTCACGCCGCATTTTCGGCTGCCCACCGTAAGTTTCTGACTAACAATTTGTAAATAAACTTTGGACCGCTATTGAAGGTGCTAAATTTATTCCACAGATCGCACTTATTTGAGGCTGACGGAACAGGAATGGACTAGCCTTCCCTTAGATGTGAGTATTTACTAGTTTAAGGTATTACTGTGGTTAACTAATGCATCGTTTCCCTTGACAATCATCAGATTATCCTGCAGACCGTCATCAGTTTGGTGATTGTGATCTACAATATCATCGAGGTAGTGGGCAACTTCAAGGAAATTCGCGCCACCGTGGATATGCAGCAGAAAACGTGGGACACCTTGGGCAACTTTCCATCGTTTTATTCATTTAATCACCGCGGTCGTGCCTTGAACCCTGGCTACACGCCTCCGGAATAAGAGGTCATTCTTTCAAGTTCTGCTCTTCTTTTATTTATAGTCTCCACAAGTTACAAGATAAATAACGCTAAAGAACAACCAATTTGAAATCATTAGAGGATTGTAAATAATCCTGTGGCATGCATTTTTTTTGTGTAAATTCAGAAAGTTAGCACATAAATAACGCTCAAGATTGGCCATATTCCGTAACCCACTTTGGAATTTTTTAAGGATGTTGAGGAACTTCTGGCCTGTAGCAATGCCATTGCTTTGGTTTCTAGCTCATATCCTGCTCTCAACTCTTTTCCAGGACTATTATTACAGGCTTGACCGTGACAAATGCGGCAACTATCATGGTGGTTACTCCTTAATAGGCATTCATAGTACAGCTCCGGATTAGAACGGCATCCTCTTACGATCTGCTTGCTGTGGGTGTCGAAATACTCCAAGCAGGCTTCTTTTAAGTCCTCTGGTTCGTTTGCTTGAACGGGGCAAGGTATAGCAGTTTGTCCACTAGATATCTCCTCACAATCCTGCACTCCTTCACACTGATGACACCAGAGACGCTCCTCCGGAAAGGCTCCTTTATTGCAGAAGCTTCCTAGGCATGAACGACAGTTGGCTGCATTTTCTGAAGTACAGTTGAAATCGGCTTTTTGACAACCTCTCGAGGTGGTACCGTTTTTATAGGAAACCGTGAGACAAGAAGTTGCTGGCTCAACACATTCCTCGATGAATATTTCCCCTGGTCTCTCCCAGTTTGCACAGCCTGCTCCAGCTTGATCCGTACTGCATTGATAGCAGCGTGTGAAATCCTTATTATTACATCCATCTTTTTCATCGCATTCGTAGCAGTTGAGGATTCCGGGATTTATGGGTGCAGCTCCACATCCTCTTTGTACACTCCAGTTGGAGTACTCACAGGTGAAGCAGGAGGATGCCTCGGCGGAGCCGCAAGTGGTGTTACTTATGGCTGTCACATTCGTTCTGCAAAGTTCCTGATCCAGAGAGTTGCAGGTCAAACACTTCTGCCGGGTAATGCAGCCAGCATTGCAGTAGTCACTAGTTCTACACTTTTCCAGTTCCTCCTTATAGGGTACCAGATCTGCTGGTATTGTCTGAGAGCAGCCTCTAACCACGCGGCTTAATCTCCGATGGCTAAAGCAGTACTTGTCCTCTTCCTCACCCAACAGAACCTCCTGCTGGCATTCCTCAAACAGCGTCACATTGCACCTGCCGGTGTTCACCTGGAAGAGGTCCATCTTGCAGCCCCTGGCGTCTGCAGAATCGCATGCGGCGCAAACCTGTGTCCAAGCTCCCTGTTCCTCATTGCAGCCATTTATTTCACACAGCTTGGCGGCACTGGACAGCGTGTGATTCTGTTCGGAAACGCAACCTCTGTATGCTTCGGATGAACTTATAACATCCGTGTAGCACTGATCCTCTTCCAAGTGATTGCGACAGGGTTTTGGTTTTGCACCTGGTGCTGCCACGCAATCCTGTCCAGCGCAGTGATGGCACTTGAGGCGCCCCGGGGGATAGACACCGGCATTACACAGGTTCGAGGAACAACTCTTCGAGTAAGTGGCTCCTGTGGTTGGGGTTTCGGCTCCGCACCCACGATATGTAATGGAGTCCACTGAAAGAGGGGAATCAGATTACGTCTGGTTATAAAAATACAATCATTTTGAGATATTACAGAATAAAAAAGTATTTTAAATAATTTTATAGCTTGAATACCTATTTTAAAATATCAGTTAAACTTAACTTATTAAACATCAATGAAATGCAAAATTCATTCTTTGAAAGTACTAACCAGATTTCAATTGAGACTTATATAGGTAAATACTCACCAATGGACATGGCACACGTCAGCTGCGTCGGGCATTCCACGTAGGGAAGAACTCCCACCTCTCCGAGGGTCTGGGAACATTCCGGCAGGGCAATGGAATCACATTTATAGCATACAATAGCAGTACTACGGCCTATTATTGGAAACCCCTTCAAAGCTTAGCTACGCATTATTTCTGGGAGAAATGGCAATTGTCTCACCTGTTAACAGGACGATCAGGAGAAGAAGGATTAGATGACGAGGCGTCTGCAGTCCAAGCATTTTGACAGCTCATAAAGAATGTAAACTAAAATTGCACCTTTGTTTTCCCATTGAAATCCATAATCTGTTTATGACTTATCAGACAATATAACAAAGAGTTGATATAGTTGAAATGGTGATAAGGATAAGCTAGAAAAAGTCCATTTCCAAAAGAGGGTTATAGTCAACTTAATAATTTTAATTATTTAAGTATTTGCCTTTTAATGGATTTCAAAATAAAATACTTTATCTCATTTACTTAAGGATTACTCATAAAAAAAGTATCTTGAACGGGTCATAACATCGGAATGTGTACCAAAATATGCAATCGTTTGATAATATAATAATTGGAGCACATTTTGTGCTGAACCTTTCCCACACATCAGTTGTACGGGTATATTTACCTCGGCTTTTTTCAAGCATATGCATAATGACCAAAAATGACATAACCATAATATGGTCTGTGCCTTGACCCCATTATCGGAGTGTCCCATCGGTTCCATCGAAAGGTTCACATCATCAATAATTTAGGGGCTCGCATTTGTTGCAGGATTGTCGGGAGCGACTCAAATGCGTGGGTCAAGGGTTCCGCGACCAATGTCTTTCCCCCCTCGATATCGATTTAATTTAGAGACCAGATAATTGCGTGACAATCAGCGGATTCTAGTACACATATGGTATGTCCAGGCGGTTTAATGACCAACGTTCTCAGTTTAGAGCTAAACAACCGCGGGAAAGGTCGGGAAAAGCCAACTCATCGGTAGCGAGTACAGAACAAATATTGCTATTTGCCGAGCTCTTCAGCGCGGGGATAAAACGATAACAAGAGATACAGATCTGATAAGCCCATCCACTCAGCGGGTTCAGTGGAAGATTTATTTCTCCATTAAAGTCATAAGCTCTGCGAAGTTTCAACCGATCAGTAACCACAATGCGGATGCGACTGCTGGTTATCTGGATTTCCATGACTGCTCTACTTCAATGGAGCAGGGCCCAGGAGGACAATATACAAGAGGTCAGCCTAAGTGTAGCCGAAGAAGGTGAACGCCCAGAAAAGAATGAAGAAAGTCCGTCTTTTATGGGCACAACAGATATGCCTGCTGTTGACAAAGAGCCTGTGGAAACGTCCATAATTCAACAAAATATACCATTTGAAGGAGAAATGGAACATCATTCAGGAGAAACAAATATGGACGCAGAGGATAAACCCTCTGAAGGGGCTTCATTGGATGATCCCAAACCAGAAGAGGATAAAAAAGAGCCGGAAAAAGAAGTTACCAGTACTTCTCCGCCACCAGAAACTTCTGAATCAGATAAAGAAACGGAAACATCGGACCATTCAGACCCATCCTCCCAGATACCTACGGTATCTGAAGAACCATCTTTAGAAGCGGATCCCGAAATGCCTAAAAAACCAATGGAGGAATCCCATTCCGCAAACGAAACTGCTGAAATATCAACGGGAGGATCGCCCGACTATCAGGGTGATGGACCTGGTCACCAAGATCACACCACAGCCCCAACCACACCTGGAACCCTAACACCTGCTACGCCCCCAATTCCCAACCCAGTATTCTCTATGTTGAGCTGTTATTCCTGCATGTTCTGCAACAATATAACTAAGGAACTGCCTAAGGCAAACTGCCCACCGATACCGGGGAAAAATAATGGATGCCGTACCATTCTTGTTCGAGATCCTAATGTCACTCCGGATAAAAAGATTTATATAAGTCGAGGCTGCATATCCGAATTAGATACTTTATCTGTCTATTGCGATAAAAATAAGGAACTGTGCCCCACCTGCTACGAAAACCATTGCAATGTTCATAATATGACTCAATTTGAGCAGTCGCTGGGCTCTGCAGCTGCCGCTCATCATCTGGTAGCCCCTCTCCTTATCTGGAGCATCTATTTATTCAGTTGGCAGGTGCTTTATTAAAAACTCCCACCCACGCAATTCTGAGTCATCAAAACAATTAAAAAGTTAATAAAGCTTGGCGCACTTAAAAATCGATATGTGTGACTAATAATGAACATGGCAGATTAGATCGGCAGTCTGTCTAGATAATTTTATTTTATCTATAAAATACATAAGTTTATTAATGTTGATTGGTTTGCTTAGTAATATTTACCGCTTTGCAACTTAAAAATGCATAAAAGCTTTTGTCTTTAAAATACACAGAATATGTGGAACTGGTAAATATATTTTCAAATAAAATATTTACTAATTATCCTTAGCTTGAACAAATTTTAAAAGACATTTGGATTGAAACTGGCTTTCACTTCTGTGTTTTCATCGTAAAATTAGTTATTATTAAATGCTGTATCAAATCTAAATCATACTTTCGAAACACTTACAATTTGATCGTTTCAACGCCATATTAATGAGCTAAACATATTGAAAGTTCAACAATAAGTTTGACAATATAATTAGTAGTATGTAATTTACATAAGTGATGATGTGGACGTCATCATCAATTATTTAGCAATCTTTTAATGGTGAAGGGAAAAGGGATCGACCATTAAATGCATATAACATCCCCTTGAGCTTCAAAAACCATTTTATTTAAATGGATTGGAGTTAACCAGTCCTCTAAAGCGTTTTATTCAATCAGTTGTTGGGAAAACTGAAAGGAAAGCGGAAGAAAAAAAAGGATTTCAAAATTGGGGATAGAACTCTATCGACTAATACAAATGTTGCTGCTCTTTAAGTGTGTTATTTTAGTCACTTTACTCCGGTTTTTAAAAGCCCAGGACCATGATCACAAGGATACTATGAATGTGACTAATAATAAAAACACCATACTCTCAACACATTGGCCTGAAATTGTTAGCCAGGATAACGAAATTAGGAAAATTTCAGTAACTACTGAAGAACCAGGCACCACAACCCTTCTTCCGCCTATACGATGTCTAAAATGTGCATATTGTGGTAAAAATGAAGGAAAAGGTACAAGTAATAAGGGAAAAAAGTTGTGTCCCTTAATACTGGGTGTAGTGCATGGATGCATATCTATTTTCTTCAATTATCCCAACACCGCTGGAGGTCCGGACGGCTTTTTGGTGAGGGGTTGTATTTCCGAATTAGACGATGGAAGTCTCAAGTTCTGCAAGAAAAATGAGAATCTCTGCCACAGGTGTTTCTCTTCTGATTGTAATGATGTGGACTTAACTAAAGATGGGTTGGTTACTGAAGGAAATGAAGGAAAAGGTTCAAGCAATGAGGGAGGAGCCCGAATAATGTCCTCAATATTTTTAGTGATCGCTAGTTTAATTGCTTTGCTTTAACACTTATAAACAGTGCACACTTCTACTTAATGCACAAGTCAAACAAGATGAGCAAAAATAATAATTGCACAAAGGCTACCAATAAAAATGTTTATCAAGACCAATCAAAAGTATAGTTTATATTGTTATATTTTAAGAACATCGGCAGTCCGCCTAGATGAAATTGTTTTACCTCTAAAATATCAATACCAATAAATACCAATATCAATTGACAACTGCCTATGCCAGAATTTAGACAATGTTTGTTAGATTTCTTATAAGTTTTAACCTTAAATAATTTAGGCGTAAATTGTCAAGTATTCCCATGCATTGTTCAATAATCTTACTAGTACTTACATTACCCTGATTACAATGAGGTCCACGGCATTAATTATTCATAACTTTTAATAGTGCAGGGATATGGAATCGGTCTTTAAACGTGCTTAAAAATCCCTTGAGTTTCAGATACAATTTGGAAGCGTGACACTCATTGGATTGGAGTTAGCCATGCACTCAAAGTTTTTACGACCACTGCTTTTAGTTGTAAGCAAGACTCCCAGAAAATCGGAATGAAAAAAGAAATGGAACTGGTACTTAAGTTTACTATTCTTATTGCTTTAGTGCCGTTGTTTAAAGCCCAGCAAAAAGACCAGGAGAAGACATTTACTGTGTCCAATGATCAAAACACAATATTCCCCAGCGAAGGATCTCTTATTGGCTCAACATCTTGGCCAGCAGTTGAAAACCAGGAACACGAAAACAATCAAATTTTGGTGACAACCGAAGAACCAGGCACAACAACCATTTATCCGTCTTTAAGATGCCTTAGCTGTAAATTTTGTTCCCCAAATGAGGGAAAAACAAGAGATAGTAAAGGAAAAAAGTTTTGTCCCATACATCCAGGTGTACTAAATGGTTGCAGCTCTATTTATTTCAATTTTTCCAGCAGTGCTGGCGGTCCAGAAGGCTATATCATAAGGAGTTGCATTTCCGATCTAAGCGAGGGCGATCACAACTATTGTAAGATAAATGAGAGGGTCTGCCACAAGTGTTACTCCGATGATTGCAATTATCTGGACATCACCACAAATGGGTTGGTGACTGGAGGAGGAGCTCGAATAATGGTCTCAATGTTCCTAGTAATCCCTAGTTTGATCGGTTGGATTTTAGGTATTGTGTAATTAGGTGAAAAGTCTTTAAGGCTTTTATATAAAAGTTGTTTACAAATTACTCAAAAGGCACTTCAATTATTAAATTTTCTGTCTTTTGCTCCCAAATCTTATTCCCTTTCGCTTAAGAATTTAAAATATTTTATTTAATTTTAATCTTTTTTGTAATTATCTAAAATTAAATTATCTTTTTAAGTGTAGAAATAATTAAAAAATATTTGTTACCAAAGTAGAGAAAACAGTTGCGATTGATTTAGAAAAAGTGGTTTGTGGTTAATATGATGTAAATTATAAGCAAATAAATGCCATTAAGAAAAGTAAAAATTAATTGACTTAAGTTTTTTCCACCATTTGATTCCAAAGACTTTTGTAAAGAATTTTTATTAGAGTCTGTATATATGCATTTTTATAGACAGAAAACAATGCGCATTAATATTAATAATTATTTTGATAAGCTGTTATCATAATCTGATAATGTTTTTTGCCATTTTGATAAGCTCTAACAGTTTTTACCAATCTTGTACCGACAACACCGTCTGAAAAAAGGATTTGACCTTTTTAATAATTTCAGAACTGTAAGAAGCCTTAAAAATATTTATATTTACATATTTTTTTATTTTGGAAATAAAAGTATTCCTAATTAGTTAGAAATTATGATTTCTTTTGGTCTGTTGCTCTACATAAGCCAGCATTAGTCATGGACCCAGCGACCTGATAACTTGAATAGATAAGGCTAGTATCTCTGAGGTTCCAGGCTTAAAGGGCACTGCGAAGGGTTAGCATGAGGGCCATCAGCAGACCGACCACTCCCATCTGGCTGAGGGAGGAGGCTCCGTTGAGTTTATTCTTGTTGCACCCGGACTCTGAGCACGTTGTGCACTGATAGTCCTTTATTCCGGCATCGCACTGGTACTGCATCAATTGACTAGCGGCGCTAAAACAGTCTCGCACCGCAAGGTTATCTGCAAAAAAAAAGGGTTACAAATATAATATAATATTTCGGAAGGAATATAAGGTTAGAAACAAACATATAAAGGTTTAGCTACACTTATTCGAAAAAAATAATAAGTCAAGAAAGAAGTATTAATTTTTGTTTGTAATAAAAGTTCAGCATTTGGAAAAAAATTAGAATCGTAAATGAAAATGTAAAGGGATTATGTTAATGTCGGATTAAATGTGAAATCAAATCCGATTTTAAAGAACTTATAATAATTTTTTTTTTCTTAAAGACATAACTAATTATGATTAAATGATTGAAATTCCTGTTCAATCAAAGATTGATTTCCAGCAATCAAGTCTTCATAATTAAGTTGACGTATAATCCAACTTCTAGTCAGTAGTATTAGTAGTTTGATTGGGGGGAACTTACTCCAGACTCCACTAAAGCATTTTTCGCTGGGGCAGGTGACAAAGGTCTCATTAGCCGGTGCATTTGGAGTCCAGCAGCCATCAATCTGATTGGAGATGCAGGCGATGCACTTGAAAGCCTCGGCGGCCACATTGCAATTAGATGTCGTGCAGGATGTGCATGAATTGGCCTCGGTGCACTCTCCTTCCAAACTGCTCAAACATCCTCGCTTGACCGTGGCGCCGAAAGTTATTGTGTAGCAGCCGATCGCCTGTTGGTAGGTTACCAAGCCGCAGGGTGACCCCTGGGTCGCATTCTGCTGGCTCGAACAGTTTTCGCAAACCATACAGGATCCGGCATCCCTCTGGTACGCCACATTGTTGCAGAAGTCCGAATCGCAGAGAAGGCAACTGGAATCGGTGCTATCGACCTCGCACTTGATCGCCGTGGTGGCCGAAGTGCAGCCACGGGTCATGTTGGTCGCAGACGTTCCCGTTGTGAAGCACTGGGCATCGGTTTGGCTACATCCAATGACCGTCGAGTCAGTTTCGCATTCGGTTCCGGTACAGTTATAACACTGCCGCCGGTTGGCGGGGAAGACTCCCTTATTGCACAGCGACGACGTGCAGGAGAGGCACTTGGTGTCCGCCACTCCATCGGCACAAGCGGGGCCACACTGACGGGTCACCGTCTGGTTGTCATTCACCTGGTTCACACAGACTTCGCCGGCGGCGCACACTGCATTGTACTTCGCCTCCGTCACATTGGTCTGAGCACACTCCGCCAGGCCGAGGCACTGCTGGCACAGCAAATTCGAATTGCATTTTTCACCGTCGCAGGACGAGCAAGTGGGTTCGGAGCAGTTCGGTGTAGCGTCCAAGCAGCCACGCTTTAGGACGCCGTTACGATCTGAAAAGGACACAATCAATACAGCAATACAGTATAGATCAATAAAATCCAAGGCTTCCTAGTAATTTCTATCAGGACAACTTTCAATTTGTATGGCAGCTTACCAATTGTTATTATTAAAATAATAAATAAAGCATTTATCCAAATGGAAATGGGAAAGTATATTAAAGTATCGTAGTTTTGCATTCGTAAATAAATATACTTGGTGTGTTAGGTCTACAGATAAACCACACAATTGTGGTGGTGATATATGTGTAATATCATAAATAACAAGGGTATAAATATTGATATTAATAAGCCACACACTGTGAAACAATAAAGTAATAATAATAAAAGAAAGAGCCAAAGTATCTAAGAAAGATAAGCTATGCACTTTGTAACGGTTTAATCGTTACGAAAATTATATAATCATAAGTAAATAATAATATTTATATTTAAACAAAAAATTACACATTTCGGTTTCCCCAACATTTTCTCGCTTTAAAAAAAATGTGAAAAAGAGAACCGCTTTCTTAACATTTATCGTAACCCAGTTTTTTATAATCTAATTACAAAATATTTGAACAGTTTAAGTCAACATTGAAGTTTTAATAAAGGGAGAAGCACAACAGAAGCTAACTGGATAAAAAATACTTGAATGAATCACCAAATCATAAATATTTGTGCCGTTGAAAATCAATAAGTTGGTATTGAAATTCTCTGAAACGCAGTGATCCTTAAGCGTTATCAATAGAGATAATCGCTTATCGCTTAAAGCTGCCCAGTTTGATAAGAGAGTCCGGCAGCATTTACCTTTGTCTAAGAATATGAAATGGTCGGGCATGACTCATAGAAACTCACCTGTGCTGGTATAGCAATTACCAGTGCAATTGAAAGTTTCAATACCCTCGGCACTGGGGTTCAATAGGCAATTTCCATCTGATCCCGTTGAGGTGCAGTTGTAGCATACTGCGTTAAATGAAGAGGAAAATTAGTTGGAAAACTTGTAGGGAAATGGCCAGTTTACTTGTTGCCATAGTGCTGTCCAGCTGGCCGACAATGAGGGCTGCTATCAAAACGACACACAGGTTATATCCTCTCATGGCTGTCGTTTTTTATATTTAATAGCTCAAATTAAGCTTCTGACTGGTTCGTTCGACCACCGTGGGTTAACTGGCTTCGTCGCTGTCTGGCAAATTTTTTTTTACCCCCATTCACCTAATCAATTTCACCTAAACTCAGTTGCAAACGAACGAAGCTCTCTGTTTGCAATGCTTATCTATATTATATATTCTCTTTTTGCTGATAGCTTCAATAGGCTGGTGTGTTATTAGGTGTACATAGGTGTGCTATCGCATCTATACACGCGATGGTACTTACCATAACCAAGTTTTCATTTGCACTTCCTATAGTTTCGAGCTTTTCGGTAAACAATTTTTAAGAAAGTTTAAAAGTTAACCCATTGCTGACGAAATTTAAAGATTTATTAAAAAAAACAAAGTAACTAAAACTCCACTTAATTTTTTTTAATCAAAGGTCTTAGTTATCTAATGGAAGTAAGTAGTAAGTATTTTTAAGATAACTTAATCTGCAAAAGAAATATATAAAGTTTAATAATGGCCTACTTTTCTTAACTTAAAAATACATTTGCCTGTTTCTTTAACATTAATTGTCAGTTTTTTAAAATTTCTGTGGGGCACAAAAAGCTGTTAACTGGTTTGTGCATTGACTACTCTGACTTAAACCCAGAACAAAAAAAGCTTTGTAGAACCTAAACTAAACTCTTAATTTTTTATTAAACCAATTTATTTGCAGGCCTTTAAAAGTGTCAAAAATCAGATTCATTCTTTATGAGTTGCAACTATGTAAAATATGTGTACTATTTTCTGTTGGAACTATAGGTGCTTTATCACTGGTGTTCACATTTTTTAACCATCTCAATTACTTTATTTCTAAATATTAGCAAATTTTTTTTGAGTAAATATTAACTTCTTTGGATGTTAATTCCACACGGGCTGGTGTGACTTTATTTTTATTCCTGGTATCTAATCTATGTAATTAAATGAATTTATCTTCAAATTAATTAATTAATTTTCCGTTAAGAATATCTTTAAAGTAATGTTCTGCTTATAATTAAACATAAATATGTTTAAGTAGTTAATGTAATGAAATGTAAAAATTTTTTACATTTTCAGCAAGAATTCTAGAGAACTATAAAGTTACGCTTATCGTGCTTAACGAATTTGGTATTATATGTAGGAAATCTTCACCCCACAATTTAGTACCTTTCAGAACATTTCGGAGAACATGCGGAGACGGTGCTCAAGTCTCTTAGGTTCGTCATCAAGCCAAGTCCTCCCTGATTAACGCCCTCTTCCGACTGTCGATGAAGGATGTGGTGGCCAATCTGGCCACTGGCCTAGAGACCAAGGTCACCAAGGGAGGAACTAACTTCAGCGTGGGCCAGCGCCAGTTGGTCTGCTTGGCTCGGGCCATTCTGCGCGAGAATAGAATCCTTGTGATGGACGAGGCCACGGCCACGGTCTGGGATCCCCAGACGGACAGCCTCATCCAGGCAACCATTCGGAACAAGTTCAAGGAGTGCACTGTCCTGACGATTGCCCATCGACTGCACTCCATCATGGATTCCGACAAGGTACTGGTTATGGACGCTGGACGCGCTGTGGAGTTTGGGTCGCCCTATGAGCTCCTGACCGTGGCGGATTCCAAGGTGTTCCACGGCATGGTCATGCTACCTACGAGGGTTTTGAGGTTTTGAGTTGTATCACATTTTCTTGAGCCACTAACCAAATTTTAATTTCAGGCCTTCGAAAGCGGCCAAAACCGGAATCTTTCTTTATGATTTGCATCTATGGAAATATTTTTTCGTTGATTTCTGTTGACATTGAAAGTTCTAGGATTACGTCATCACTGGTGCTGCTAATTCAGAAAAGTTGTTCTTAAAATTAGCTTTTTAGTTATAGTTAATTTACAAATATGATTACTTTTATCCTTTTATGAGTACAAATAGGGATATAAAGCCTTTTAATTCCACACGTGATGGTGTCTAGCATCTTTTTTTTTTCTTGTGTCTTATCATTTTAAACGAACTTAAGTCGAGACAAAAGTTTCCCATGAGATAAACTTTAAACTAATGTTCTGTTTATGATTAAGGTGGTTTAAGTTTCCAAAAAATAGAAGATACCTTTAGGTATACTTTACTGCATGTATGTGGCCCCTTTAAATATACCTTGTCGGCTTAATCTTAATATTCAACATGTATAACATTACTTTCATAGCTATAAAATAGCTCTTATCTCACATATCAGAGGCGAATTTTTCATATCAGCCGGTAGTCTCCACGCGACAAGTTAGTATCTTTCAGAAGTTTAAGGTGCGCGGACATAAAACTTTTTAATTTTTTGCACCAAAAATAAGGAGAGCCGTTCTAATTAAAAATATATTTTAATAAACTCATTACAACTACGCTTTCAATTGCTGGTTATTGTTTCACTACTAGCAAATCCTGATAAGATAAAACACCTTCACAAAGTTTGGAAATTCTGACTTTCATTTTATTTTACCGAGTCTATTGACCTACATTTTCGGTGCGGTTGGATGTACTCTAGAAATTTATTTAAAAATCACAAGGTATTCAAATTGTGACCCGAAATTTAATTAAATATGATCATGATTTTATAAAGCGAAAAGCAGAAACCGCTCCATATTTAAATAGAGTTTTTTGTTTTATTTATTAACTGTGTGGGAAAGAATAATGTTGTCTTACAAAAAATGTAATGCTCCTTTGTGAACTTAACTAATCGTTGTAGTTAACTTGAATTTAACTTGTTGTTCACTTATTTTTCAGTTTCTAGCTGGTGTGTAATATGCAGTCGGTAAAGACTGAAGATCTCCCAGAGAATCCTCGAGAGCGATCAAATTGTATTACGTCATTATGGTTTTGGTATAAATAATTTACAGAATTACGTTAAATGTTTGAAGTAATTTAATAATACCTATAATTACACAGGTATACCATGCCCATATTTTTTAAAGGGTCTAAAGATTCATTGGGTACAAAGGACCTTTACAGACCCTTGAAGGAGCATAAGTCAGGTATGATTAAGTACATTTTCTGTAAGCCCGAACTTTGGATTAAGCAATCTAGTTTCAAAGCTATGAAGTTGTTTTAAATTAAATGTCCTAACTTGTGCAACTTTTTCAGATACTCTCGGCAACAAATTGTGCGCCTCGTGGGAGCAAGAATTGAGAAATCCCAATGGAAAGCCGAACCTTCTAAGGGCCCTGCTGCGGGTTTTTGGCTGGCAAATGGGATTCCCCGGTCTGGCAATTTTGGTTGAGGAGCTGGGTCTGAGAACTTTCCTGCCGATCTTCTTGGTGAAGTTTATTTCGTATTTCACAAACAACTCAGAATCCGTTGAGATGGGCTATTTTTATGCGGGCTTACTGACACTAAGTATTGCCCTCAGTGTGATGATCATAACTCCTGCCATGTTTGACGTCCATCATGTGTGTGGGTTTGCTAAATCTTATTTGTGTGGTTTACGACTGAAGTGTTCTCTGCAGGCTTTAAGATGCGGGTCGCCTTGAGCAGCATGATCTACCGGAAGTCCCTTCGACTGAGCAAGAGGGCACTGGGCGACACCATGTCCGGACATGTGGTCAACCTAATCTCCAACGACGTCTCCCGCCTGGACGATGGAATCTTCTACTTGCACTATCTTTTGGTGGGGCCATTGGAAGCTCTGCTGGTTACCTACTTGATGTACCAGAAGGTAAGCAAATCAGTAGATTCTATAACTATTTAAGTCCTAATCCTTCTGCAGATTGGAATCGCAGCCGTGTTCGGCGTGATCTTCATGGTGCTCTTCATACCCCTGCAGATGTATCTAGGCACAAAGACCTCAGAGCTGCAGCTGAAGGCCTCTGAAAGAACTGACAACCGGATGCGGATGGTGAATGAGATCATCTCCGGCATCCAAGTGCTGAAGATGTACGCCTGGGAACGGCCCTTCGAGAAGATGGTGGCTTTCGCGCGACAGAAGGAGGTCAATGCTATTCGCCAGGGACAGTACATTAAAGGCTTCCGCTTTGCCAGCAGAGTCATCCTCCCGCGCATTTCCATATTCCTGAGTTTGGTTGGCTACGTGATCCTGGGACAGTTTCTCACGCCGGAAGTGGCCTTTCTGATCACCGCCTTCTACAACATACTTCAAGCCTCCATGACCATATTTTTTTCTATGGCCATCATCCAAACAGCCCAAATCCTGGCATCAATCGACCGTGTACAGAAGTTTATGCAATCCGAGGAGGTAAATGAGACGGATAAGGGTGAAAAGCTACCGAAATATTCCGTCATTGCTGAAGAGGAAAGTATTTTACCTCCATCCCCCTCCGTCATTTATCAAGAGACCAGTTTACCAAAGCCTGGTATCTCTATTACCGGACTCAGGGCCAAATGGGATCGCGATTCGCATGACAATACACTTAGTGGGGTAAGTCTGCAGATTCAGCCCGGGACTATAGTGGCGGTCATGGGTCCCACTGGTTCCGGCAAATCGAGTCTCATCCAGGCCATTCTCGGCGAGCTCAAAGCAGATGCCGGCCAGATAAAGGTTAATGGATCCATGTCTTATGCCCCCCAAGAACCATGGCTCTTTTCCGGCACCGTGCGCCAAAATATTCTTTTCGGTCAGCCCATGGATCATCAGCGGTACGCCAAAGTGGTAGAGAACTGTGCCCTGACGAGGGATTTCGAGCTTCTTCCACTCAAGGACAAAACGATGGTTGGAGAGCGGGGAGCTTCCCTGTCTGGTGGACAGAGGGCAAGGATCAGTTTGGCGAGGGCTGTCTACCGGGAAGCGTCCATCTACTTACTGGACGATCCATTAAGTGCAGTGGACCCCCATGTGGCCCGCCATCTCTTCGAGCAGTGCGTGCGTGGCTTCTTGCGGGGCAGCACCGTAGTTCTGGTTACCCATCAACTGCAGTTCCTGCAGCACGCGGATCAGATTGTGATCTTGGAGAAGGGACAGGCGAGTGCTGTGGGCACCTACGAGTCGCTCCTTAAAACAGACATCGACTTTGTCGCCATACTGGAAGAAGCGGATAAGGAAGATGATCATGAGAAGGAACGACCACGTTCAGACAGCAATGGTAAATCCCCCAACGAAGTGCGTCGCAACAGTGCGAAAAGTGTGCAGTCGAAGATCAATAAGGAGAGCCAGCAATCAGGTAATATCAGTCTGGCATTATACAGGAAGTACTTCCAGGCTGGCGGCGGACTTTTCGCTTTCCTTCTAATGGTGACCTGCTCTGTGCTGGCGCAGGTGGTGGTTTCCTTGGGCGACTACTTCCTGATTTACTGGTAAGTTTTAATCAACTGATAATTTAACAATTCTTATTGTCCTCTTTCTATATTAGGGTCGACAAAAAGCACAATGTTGCTGTCCTAGGAGAACCCCAGAATATGGACTCTGAAATCAAGGATGTAAACATATTTACGCTGATCATAATATTGTCCATTATAATGACCTTATCGTCATCGATCTTGTTGTACAACATCGCCAAGAAAGCTTCTATTCGTTTGCACAACACCATATTCAACCGGATTACGCGCGCTCCAATGTACTTTTTTAGCTTGAATGAACTCGGGAGTATTTTGAATCGGTTTTCCAAGGATATGAGTCAAGTGGACGAGACCCTTCCTCATGTGATAATAGATGTTACCCAGATTTTTTTGTGGCTCGCCGGAATTATAAGCCTCGTGGCCATTGTCAACCCTGTTTTGCTTGCACCAACATTTATTCTGGGAATAATTTTCTATCAGCTGCGAAACTTCTATCTTAAAACCTCAAGGGACTTGAAGCGTATTGAAGCAATAAGTAAGAGCTCATTTAGTTTTGAAATATTCAGTACTGATATCAGTTCAATCTGTGTTTAGCCCGATCTCCAGTATACTCCCATTTGGCTGCCTCCTTAACCGGTCTGTCCACCATCCGTGCCTTCGAAGCTCAGCGCATCCTAGAGGCCGAGTTCGACAACTACCAGGACATGCATAGCTCGGCACGCTTTATGTTCATTAGTACCTCGAACGCCTTTGGTTATTGGATGGACTGCTTATGTGTTATTTACATAGGTATCATTACAATCAGTTTCTTCATCTTTCCCCCAGACAACGGAGGCGCTGTGGGTCTCGCCATAACACAGGTTAATATAGGTTATAGTAGTTTTTAACCGTGACTTGAAAATGCTTCTGTCCTTTTAAGGCCACAGGACTGATGGGAATGGTGCAGTGGGGAATGCGTCAATCCGCCGAGCTGGAGAACACGATAACGGCCGTTGAGCGAGTGGTTGAGTACGAGGGCATTGAGCCGGAGGGAGCATTGGAGTCCCCAGACGAAAAGAAGCCACCTAAGTCGTGGCCAGAGCAAGGAAAGATAGAGTTTGATGAGCTGAGCCTGCGCTACTTGCCGGATCCGAAAGCGGAGACTGTGCTCAAGTCACTTAGTTTCGTCATCAAGCCAAAAGAAAAGGTGGGCATCGTGGGACGCACTGGGGCGGGCAAGTCCTCGCTGATTAACGCCCTCTTCCGACTGTCCTTCAACGATGGAACCGTGCTCATAGACAAGAGGGACACAAGTGAGATGGGTCTGCACGACCTGCGCAGCAAGATCTCCATTATTCCCCAGGAACCCGTTCTGTTCTCTGGCACAATGCGACACAACTTGGATCCCTTCGACGAGTACAGCGATGAGAAGCTGTGGCACTCCTTGGAGGAGGTCAAGATGAAGGATGTGGTGGCCAATCTGGCCACTGGCCTAGAGACCAAGGTCACCGAGGGAGGAACTAACTTCAGCGTGGGCCAGCGCCAGTTGGTCTGCTTGGCTCGGGCCATTCTGCGCGAGAATAGAATCCTTGTGATGGACGAGGCCACGGCCAATGTGGATCCCCAGACGGACAGCCTCATCCAGGCAACCATTCGGAACAAGTTCAAGGAGTGCACTGTCCTGACGATTGCCCATCGACTGCACTCCATCATGGATTCCGACAAGGTACTGGTTATGGACGCTGGACGCGCTGTGGAGTTTGGGTCGCCCTATGAGCTCCTGACCGCGGCGGATTCCAAGGTGTTCCACGGCATGGTCAAGCAGACGGGACATGCCACCTACGAGGATCTGCTGAAAGTCGCACAAAAGGTTCGTGGTGTTTTGAGTTGTACCACATTTTCTTTGACCGCTAACCAAATTTTAATTTCAGGCCTTCGAAAGCGTCCAGAACTGAAATAGTTCTTCATGAGATGAAACTATAGAAATATGTTCTTGTCGTTTTAGATGTCCTACGACTGCTACTCATTACTGCTAGTTCAGAAATGTTGCTCTTCAAATTAGATTTTTACCCATTTTTATTTAAGAATATTTACAAATAGGATTACTTTTATGCTTTTATGAGTACAAATTAACATATTAAGCTCTTTAGTTCCACATGTGCTGGTGTCTAGCGTCTTTTTTATTTCCTGTTATCTAATCTAAGTAATTTGAAGACCAATTTAAGTGTATTATTAAACATTAACATGTGTGGAGTTTTATTTACCTAAAATAAAATATATGGAGTTCAATTAGTAAAAGGCTGAGATTACCGCGTTTTCGTAGCATGTCAAAAAAGCTCGTGCACCTTATTTAATGTTTTCATAAAGAACCTTTCAAGTGTTATAGTTTTATATGTTCAACACGATCATCTTACAACTATAAAATAGCTCTTATCTCACTTATCAGAGGCGAATTTGGCAAAATGAGCCGTTAGTGTTCAAGCCGCTAGTCAGTATTTTTTAGAACATTGTGGTTTGCGGACATATTGTGGCTAGCACATGGTTGTTGTGCTCAACCTCTTATTCAGTACTTAGGCAGCCTGTAAAATGCAGTCGTTTAAAACTAGAGATCTGCCGGAGAATCCTAGGGAGCGATCGAATTTTGTTTCCTCATTATGTTTTTGGTAACAAATTTAAAGTACTCACGTTTAATGAAAATATTTGAGGAAAGTAAGTTTATTTGTGTAGGTATACTATGCCCATATTTGTAAAGGGTGCTAAGGAGACATTGGAAGCAAAGGACCTTTACAGGACCTTAAAGGAGCACAAGTCGGGTAAGATGGATTTTATATTTGTAATCCATCCAAATCGGATGACTACATCCCATAGTTTTCCTTCTCATATACTATTGTTATCCTGCTTTACAAAAATTAAGCTGGTATTGAAGCTTGAATGACTTTCTCTTCTAGCTACTTATGTATCTTAGTTATTATCCGGATAATTTAATGCTTGAAACGTGTAAATCATTTCAGATACTCTGGGTAACAAATTGTGCGCCTCGTGGAACCGAGAATTAAAATATTGCAATGGAAAACCGAACTTGTTAAGAGCTTTGCTTCGTGTTTTTGGTTGGCAATTTGGATTTCTCGGCTTGGCTTTCTTTCTAATGGAACTAGGAGTGGCAACTTTGCAGCCCGTGCTCTTGCTAAAGCTTATTTCCTACTATGTCAATGACTCGGAAGTCGTTGAGCAGGGCTATTACTATGCGGTTGGACTCATCCTAAGCAGTTTAATCTTCATGATCATCCTGCATCCTGCCAACTTTGGCATACATCATTGTTGTGAGAAGAGGCTCATTGATATAGCTATATTGATTGGAAGATATACCATCTGGTTTTATAGGCTTCAAGATGCGGGTCGCCCTGACCAGCATGATTTATCGGAAGGCACTACGGCTGAGCAAAAGGGCACTTGGCGACACTATGTCCGGACATGTGGTCAACCTTATATCCAACGACATAGCCCGCCTGGACAACTGTGCCTTCTATGGCCACTATTTGTGGTTGGCACCGCTGCAAACGCTATTAATCACTTTCTTGATGTACCGAGAGGTGAGCTCTGTTCAAAAGCTCTGAGAATTTATAAATTCCCCCGTCTATGTATCTCTGCAGATTGGAATTGCTGCGGTGTTTGGCGTAGCCTTCATGCTGCTCTTGGTACCCCTCCAGTTGTATCTGGGCAAGATCACCTCAGTGGTGCGACTGAAGGCCGCCAAAGGAACGGATGAGCGAATGCGGTTGGTCAATGAAATCTTGTCGGGCATACAGGTTCTCAAGATGTACGCTTGGGAGTTACCCTTCGAAAGGATGGTGGCCAATGCACGAATGAAGGAGGTCAATACTATACTTCAAGGAGCATATATTAGAGCAAGCACCTATGCGTTTTCCATATTCGCGTCGCGCGTATCGATTTTCCTCAGTTTGGTTGGATACGTGATCCTGGGAAAGCTACTCACGCCGGAAGTGGCCTTCCTGATTACCGCCTACTACAAAGTGCTAGATAATTCCATGAACTTTTACTTTCCAGCAGCCATTAATCAGACGGCGCAAATCCTGGTTTCTATCAAGCGTGTGGAAGAGTTCATGCAATCCGAGGAGACAAAAGAGACGAGTGAAAGTCTGCCGGCTGGCATGGTCGTCCCCAAACTGAAGGAGAACCGAGATGATATTTTACCCCAGACACTCTCCGCCGTAAATAATCACTATATTCTTCCAGAGTCTGGTATCTCCATCACCGGACTTCGGGCCAAGTGGGACCCTGAATCACCCCACTTCACACTAAGTGGGATAAGCCTGCAGATTCAGCCTGCGACCTTGTTGGCCATTACAGGTACTACTGGGTCCGGGAAATCCAGTCTCATCCAAGCCATTCTCGGCGAGCTGCCAGCGGAGTCCGGTGAGATCCAGGTGACTGGATCTATGTCCTATGCTTCCCAGGAGCCGTGGCTCTTCTCCGGCACCGTGCGCCAGAATATCCTCTTTGGGCAGCCCATGGATCGCCGCAAGTACGCGGCGGTGGTCAAAGAGTGCGCTCTGGAACGAGATTTGGAGCTACTTCCGCTTCATGACAAAACAATCGTGGGAGATCGTGGATCTTCTCTGTCGGGTGGCCAGAGGGCGAGGATCAGTTTGGCGAGGGCTGTCTACAGAGATGCCTCCATCTACTTGCTGGATGATCCGCTGAGTGCGGTCGACTCCAAAGTAGCTCATCATATCTTCAATCAATGCATCAGTGGCTATCTACGAGGACGCACCGTAGTCCTGGTCACTCATCAACAGCAGTTTCTGCAGCAATCCGATCGGATTGTAATCATGGATGAGGGCCAAGTGAGTGATATGGGTACCTATGAGTCCCTCCTCAAAAAGGGTGTCACCATCCTGGACCAAGCGAAAAAGGAAAATAATCCGGAAGAGGAACAATCTCGTTCGGATAGCTTTAGTAAACCTCTTAAGGAGCTGCGACGCAACAGCGGGAATTCAGAGAACTCCATTGCAGATTCCTGTCCGGAGAAAATTAATATGGAGCACCAAGAATCAGGTGGCATCAGTCTAACCGTGTACAGAAAGTACTTCCAGGCTGCCGGAGGATTTTTCGCGTTTACCATGATGAGCTGTTTTCTACTTTCTCAGTTTGTCACCTCCTCGGGCGACTACTTTCTAAACTACTGGTAAGGCAAATAAGTTTTGTTTTTTGATTTATAATTACTTCTCTTTTAGGGTCACCAAGAAGCGAAGTGTTGGCATTGAAGGAGAAAACGCTCTGAGGTCGAATCTTTCGGTGACTGGGAACGAAATGGGATTGGCCATGGAATCTGAATCAATTGACATTTACATATTTTCTGCAATTATGTTGTTGACCGTCATAATGAACGTGACGGCCTCGAGCCTGTTATTTAACTTGGCCAAGAAGGCATCTATTCGACTGCACAGCACCATATTCAATGCAGTTATGCGGGCGTCCATGTACTTCTTCAGCATAAATGATCATGGGAGAATTCTGAATCGATTTTCCAAGGATATAAGTCAAGTAGACGAGATACTGCCCGATATGATGATAGACGTGATTCAGATTTTCCTTTTAGTGGTCGGCAATGTAATCGTTATAGCCATTGTTAATCCGTGGTTGCTTGCTCCAGCACTTGTTGTGGGAATCATTTTCTACCAGCTGCGCAACCTCTATCTAAAAACATCAAGGGATATAAAGCGCATCGAAGCAACAAGTGAGTACTGAACCATTTTTAATATTCATATAATATTCATATTTGTCTGTTTCTGTTTTAAAGCTCGATCCCCTGTGTACTCGCATTTGACTACTTCATTGTCTGGTCTGTCCACTATCCGAGCCTTTGGAGCTCAGAGAGTCTTAGAGATGGAATTTGATAATTTCCAGGACATGCATAGCTCCGCATTTTACGTGTTTATTAGCACATCGCGCACTTTTGGTTACTGGGTGGATTTTTTCAGTGTGATTTTCATAGCGATCATTACGCTCAGTTTCTTCGTTTTTCCTCCGGCCAACGGAGGAGATGTGGGTCTGGCCATAACACAGGTTACTCAATACTAGCCAAAGATATTGTTTATTTGCTCATCCTTTCTATTGTTCGCAGGCATTAGGAATAACTAACTTATCGCAGTGGGGAATGCGCCAATCCGCCGAGCTGGAGAACACGATGACGGCCGTGGAGCGAGTAGTTGAGTACGAGGGCATTGAGCCGGAGGGAGCATTGGAGTCCCCAGACGAAAAGAAGCCACCTAAGTCCTGGCCAGAGCAAGGAAAGATAGAGTTTGATGAGCTGAGCCTGCGCTACTTGCCGGATCCGAAAGCGGAGACTGTGCTCAAGTCACTTAGTTTCGTCATCAAGCCAAAGGAAAAGGTGGGCATCGTGGGACGCACTGGGGCGGGCAAGTCCTCGCTGATTAACGCCCTCTTCCGACTGTCCTTCAACGATGGAACCGTGCTCATAGACAAGAGGGACACAAGTGAGATGGGTCTGCACGACCTGCGCAGCAAGATCTCCATTATTCCCCAGGAACCCGTTCTGTTCTCCGGCACAATGCGACACAACTTGGATCCCTTCGACGAGTACAGCGATGAGAAGCTCTGGCACTCCTTGGAGGAGGTCAAGATGAAGGATGTGGTGGCCAATCTGGCCACTGGCCTAGAGACCAAGGTCACGGAGGGAGGAACTAACTTCAGCGTGGGCCAGCGCCAGTTGGTCTGCTTGGCTCGGGCCATTCTGCGCGAGAATAGAATCCTTGTGATGGACGAGGCCACGGCCAATGTGGATCCCCAGACGGACAGCCTCATCCAGGCAACCATTCGGAACAAGTTCAAGGAGTGCACTGTCCTGACGATTGCCCATCGACTGCACTCCATCATGGATTCCGACAAGGTACTGGTTATGGACGCTGGACGCGCTGTGGAGTTTGGGTCGCCCTATGAGCTCCTGACCGCGGCGGATTCCAAGGTGTTCCACGGCATGGTCAAGCAGACGGGACATGCCACCTACGAGGATCTGCTGAAAGTCGCACAAAAGGTTCGTGGTGTTTTGAGTTGTACCACATTTTCTTTGACCGCTAACCAAATTTTAATTTCAGGCCTTCGAAAGCGTCCAGAACGGAAATAGTTCTTAATGAGATGAAACTATAGAAATATGTTCTTGTCGTTTTCTGTAAGCATTAGATGTCCTACGACTTCATCATTACTGCTAGTTCAGAATTGTTGCTCTTCAAATTAGATTTTTACCCATTTTTATTTAAGAATATTTACAAATAGGATTACTTTTATGCTTTTATGAGTACAAATTAACATATTAAGCTCTTTAGTCCCACACGTGCTGGTGTCTAGCGTCTTTTTTCATTTTCTGTTATCTAATCTAAGTAATTTGAAGACCAATTTAAGTCCAGACAAAAATTGTTTAATTAATGATCTGTGTATAATTAAACATTAACTTGTGTGTTGTTTTATTTACCTAAAATAAAATATATGGAGTTCAATTAGTAAAAGGTAGAGATTACCGCGTGTTGGATTTCTACCGAAATCTGTATGCTGAAAATATTTTTGTTGCGTACAGAACCAGTGGCAAAAGTCGCCGCAATAAGTACAGAACAAATTGGGCTGCGGAGAAGTGAATACGTCAAGATTTCTTTTCGTACTGATTTTATTCAGCATGGATCCGGGTTTATATACATGATTTGGGTTTACAAGGATATTTACTTAGGTCTAGTCTAGATAAAAATGGACAACATGGTTTATTATCAGTTTATAGCAAAAATAGCCTGAATAAGCAATTACATCTATCAGATGGTCGGGTTTAAGTTTCCCAAGGGTATGAGAAATGGTGTGAAGACACTTTCGTCGTCTGGGTGCATATGGTTTGTGACCCGTTATCACATGCCGATGTACACAGACCAGGATATCAGCTACATATTTATTTAGGTCAAAGTAGCTATCAGCAACAAACGAATTTCTGCTAAGTCGAAATCGGTCACCTCGTTTTCGTGGCATATCTAAAAAGTTTTTGCACCTAATTTTAGGCTTTCACAAAGAACCTTTCAAGTGTTATAGTTTTATATGTTCAACACGATCATCTTACAACTACAAAATAGCTCTTATCTCAGTTATCAGAGGCGAATTTGGCTATATGAGCCGTTAGTCTTCAGGACACAAGTCAGTAGTTTATACTACATTGTGGTGCGCGGACAGATTGTAGCTAGCACATGGTTGTTGTGCTCAATCTTTTATTCGTGTAAAATGCAGTCGTTAAAAACTAGAGATCTGCCGGAGAATCCTAGGGAGCGATCGAATTTTATTTCCTCATTATGTTTTTGGTAACAAATTTAGTGTGCACACATTTAATGAAAATATTTGAGGAAAGTAAGTTTATTTGTGTAGGTATACTATGCCCATATTTGTAAAGGGTGCTAAGGAGACATTGGAAGCAAAGGACCTTTACAGGACCTTAAAGGAACACAAGTCGGGTAAGATGGTTTTTATACCCGTTACTCGTAGAGTAAAAGGGTATATTGTATTCGTGCAAAAGTATGTAACAGCTAGAAGGAAGCGTTTCCGACCCTATAAAGTATATATATTCTTGATCAGGGTCACTAGCCGAGTCGATATAGCCATGTCCGTCTGTCCGTCTGTCCGTCTGTCTGTCTGTCCGTCTGTCTGTCTGTCCGTATGAACGCTGAGATCTCGGAAACTATAAAAGCTAGAAGATTGGCATTTTGCATGCAGATTCTAGGAGTTCCTACGCAGCGCAAGTTTGTTTCAAAATGGTGCCACGCCCCCTCTGACGCCCACAATCGCTTATATACGATTTTAAAAATTTAAATATTTCGGAAAAGTAAAAATGCAGTTTTATTGTGTTTATCAATACCTATCGAAATGTAGAAGAAATTTTTCAAATCGGACCATTCGTTAAAAAGTTATGCGTGATCAAAGTTTCTATCTCCATCTCCCTCGCACTCCCTTTACCTGAGTAACGGGTATCTGATAGTCGGGGCACCCGACTATAGCGTTCTCTCTTGTTATATTTGTAATCCATCCAAATCGGATGGCTACATCCCATAGTTTTCGTTCTTATATAGTATTGTTATCCTATCTTACGAAAATTAAGCTGGTATTGAAGCTTGAATGAGTTTCTCTTCTAGCTACTTATGTATCTTAGTTATTATCCGGATAATTTAATGCTTGAAACGTGTAAATCATTTCAGATACTCTGGGCAACAAATTGTGCGCCTCGTGGAACCGAGAATTAAAATATTGCAATGGAAAACCGAAATTGTTAAGAGCTCTGATTCGTGTTTTTGGTTGGCAATTTGGATTTCTCGGCTTGGCACTCTTTCTAATGGAACTAGGAGTGACAACTTTGCAACCCATGTTCTTGCTAAAGCTTATTTCCTACTATGTCAATGACTCGGAAGTCTTTGAGAAGGGCTATTACTATGCGGTTGGACTCATCCTAAGCAGTTTTTTCACCATGATCATCCTGCATCCTGCCAACTTTGGCATCCATCATTGTTGTGAGTCGGGCTTATTGATATATCTATTGTGAGAGGAGCGGTATATATAATAATTTAGGCACTTTCTCTCAAAACACGTCCACTTTATTCAAACCATATACAAAGAATGATTAACATTGGGCTTGCTTAAAGATTATGTTATCCTTAATGTTAGCTTAACATTAACAATCGATAGTTTATCGGGCGTAAGGGTGCCTACTACACTATATTAATTGGAAGATATACCATCTGGTTTTATAGGCTTCAAGATGCGGGTCGCCCTGACCAGCATGATTTATCGGAAGGCCCTACGGCTGAGCAAAAGAGCACTTGGCGACACTTTGTCTGGACATGTGGTTAACCTTATATCCAACGACATAGCCCGCCTGGACAACTGTGCCTTCCATGGCCACTATTTGTGGTTGGCACCGCTGCAAACGCTATTAATCACTTTCTTGATGTACCGCGAGGTGAGCTCTGTTCAAAAGCTCTCAGAATTTATAAATACCCCCGTCTATATCTCTCTGCAGATTGGAATTGCTGCGGTGTTTGGCGTAGCCTTCATGCTGCTCTTGGTACCCCTCCAGTTGTATCTGGGCAAGATCACCTCAGTGGTGCGACTGAAGGCCGCCAAAGGAACGGATGAGCGAATGCGGTTGGTCAATGAAATCTTGTCGGGCATACAGGTTCTCAAGATGTACGCTTGGGAGTTACCCTTCGAAAGGATGGTGGCCAATGCACGAATGAAGGAGGTCAATACTATACTTCAAGGAGCATATATTAGAGCAAGCACCTATGCGTTTTCCATATTCGCGTCGCGCGTATCCATTTTCCTCAGTTTGGTTGGATACGTGATCCTGGGAAAGCTACTCACGCCGGAAGTGGCCTTCCTGATTGCCGCCTACTACAATGTACTAGACAGTTCCATGAACTATTTCTTCCCAACAGCCATTAACCAGACAGCGAAAATCCTGGTTTCTATCAAGCGTGTGGAAGAGTTCATGCAATCCGAGGAGATAAAAGAGACGAGTGAAAGTCTGCCGGCTGTCATGGTCGTCCGCAAACTGGAGAAAAACCGAGATGAAGCGGAGGAAATTCTTTTACCCAAGACACTCCCCGCCGTAAATAATCACTATATTCTTCCAGAGTCTGGTATCTCCATCACCGGACTTCGGGCCAAGTGGGACCCTGAATCACCCCACTTCACACTAAGTGGGATAAGCCTGCAGATTCAGCCTGCGACCTTGTTGGCCATTACAGGTACTACTGGGTCCGGGAAATCCAGTCTCATCCAAGCCATTCTCGGCGAGCTGCCAGCGGAGTCCGGTGAGATCCAGGTGACTGGATCTATGTCCTATGCTTCCCAGGAGCCGTGGCTCTTCTCCGGCACCGTGCGCCAGAATATCCTCTTTGGGCAGCCCATGGATCGCCGCAAGTACGCGGCGGTGGTCAAAGAGTGCGCTCTGGAACGAGATTTGGAGCTACTTCCGCTTCATGACAAAACAATCGTGGGAGATCGTGGATCTTCTCTGTCGGGTGGCTAGAGGGCGAGGATCAGTTTGGCGAGGGCTGTCTACAGAGATGCCTCCATCTACTTGCTGGATGATCCGCTGAGTGCGGTCGACTCCAAAGTAGCTCATCATATCTTCAATCAATGCATCAGTGGCTATCTACGAGGACGCACCGTAGTCCTGGTCACTCATCAACAGCAGTTTCTGCAGCAATCCGATCGGATTGTAATCATGGATGAGGGTCAAGTGAGTGATATGGGTACCTATGAGTCCCTCCTCAAAAAGGGTGTCACCATACTGGACCAAGCGAAAGAGGAAAATAATCCGGAAGAGGAACAATCTCGTTCGGATAGCTTTAGCAAACCTCTTAATGAGCTGCGACGCAACAGCGGGAATTCAGAGCACTCCATTGCAGATTCCTGTCCGGAGAAGATTAATATGGAGCACCAGGAATCAGGTGGCATCAGTCTAACCGTGTACAGAAAGTACTTCCAGGCTGCCGGAGGATTTTTCGCGTTTACCATGATGAGCTGTTTTCTACTTTCTCAGTTTGTCACCTCCTCGGGCGACTACTTTCTAAACTACTGGTAAGGCAAATAAGTTTTGTTATTTGATTTATAATTACTTCTCTTTTAGGGTCACCAAGAAGCGAAGTGTTGGCATTGAAGGAGAAAACGCTCTGAGGTCGAATCTTTCGGTGGTTGCGAACGAAATGGGATTGGCCATGGAGTCTGAATCAATTGACATTTACATATTTTCTGCAATTATGTTGATGACCGTCATAATGAGCGCGACAGCCTCGAGTCTGTTATTTAACCTGGCCAAGAAGGCATCTATTCGACTGCACAGCACCATATTCAATGCAGTTATGCGGGCGTCCATGTACTTCTTCAGCATAAATGATCATGGGAGAATTCTGAATCGATTTTCCAAGGATATAAGTCAAGTAGACGAGATACTGCCCGAGCTGATCATCGACGTGATTCAGATTTCCCTTTTACTGTTCGGCAAAGTAATCGTGATAGCCATTGTTAATCCGTGGTTGCTTGCTCCAGCACTTGTTGTGGGAATCATTTTCTACCAGCTGCGCAACCTCTATCTGAAAACATCAAGGGATATAAAGCGTATCGAAGCAACAAGTGAGTACTTAACTATTTTTTTGATATTCATATAATATTCATATTTTCCTTTTGCTCTAAATCTTACTAATTTCTGTTTTAAAGCTCGATCCCCTGTGTACTCGCATTTGACTACTTCATTGTCTGGTCTGTCCACTATCCGAGCCTTTGGAGCTCAGAGAGTCTTAGAGATGGAATTTGATAATTGCCAGGACATGCATAGCTCCGCATTTTACGTGTTCATTAGCACATCGCGCACTTTTGGTTACTGGGTGGATTTTTTCAGTGTGATTTTCATAGCGATCATTACGCTCAGTTTCTTCGTTTTTCCTCCGGCCAACGGAGGAGATGTGGGTCTGGCCATAACACAGGTTACTCAGTACTAGCCAAAGATATTGTTTATTTGCTCATCTTTTATATTATTTGCAGGCATTAGGAATAACTGGCTTAGCGCAGTGGGCAATGCGTCAATCCGCCGAGCTGGAGAACACGATGACGGCCGTGGAGCGAGTGGTTGAGTACGAGGGCATTGAGCCGGAGGGAGCATTGGAGTCCCCAGACCAAAAGAAGCCACCTAAGTCGTGGCCAGAGCAAGGAAAGATAGTGTTTGATGAGCTAAGCCTGCGCTACTTGCCGGATCCGAAAGCGGAGACTGTGCTCAAGTCACTTAGTCTCGTCATCAAGCCAAAGGAAAAGGTGGGCATCGTGGGACGCACTGGGGCGGGCAAGTCCTCGCTGATAAACGCCCTCTTCCGACTATCCTTCAACGATGGAACCGTGCTCATAGACAAGAAGGACACAGGTGAGATGGGTCTGCACGACCTGCGCAGCAAGATCTCCATTATTCCCCAGGAACCCGTTCTGTTCTCCGGCACAATGCGACACAACTTGGATCCCTTCGACGAGTACAGCGATGAGAAGCTCTGGCACTCCTTGGAGGAGGTCAAGATGAAGGATGTGGTGGCCAATCTGGCCACTGGCCTAGAGACCAAGGTCACGGAGGGAGGAAGTAACTTCAGCGTGGGCCAGCGCCAGTTGGTCTGCTTGGCTCGGGCCATTCTGCGCGAGAATAGAATCCTTGTGATGGACGAGGCCACGGCCAATGTGGATCCCCAGACGGACAGCCTCATCCAGGCAACCATTCGGAACAAGTTCAAGGAGTGCACTGTCCTGACGATTGCCCATCGACTGCACTCCATCATGGACTCGGACAAGGTACTGGTCATGGACGCTGGACGCGCTGTGGAGTTTGGGTCGCCCTATGAGCTCCTGACCGTGGCGGATTCCAAGGTGTTCCACGGCATGGTCAAGCAGACGGGACATGCCACCTACGAGGATCTGCTGAAAGTCGCACAAAAGGTCTGCTTTTATTTGAATTGTAACACATTTGCTTCGGCCACTAACAAAATTTTAATTTCAGGCCTTCCAAAGCTCCCCGGATCGGAATATTCCTTCATGAATTGCAAATATGTAACATAAATATTTTAAATTGTTATTGTTTTTGTTATTTATTGATAACTATATTACTTTTCTTCTTTTATGAGAACAAGTTAAGAACATTAACACCAAACGTGCTGGTATCCAGAGAGTTTTTTTTATTTCCTGATACCATATCTCCTTTTTAACATGAATTTAAGTCCAGACAAAAATTTTTACTTTATTTAAAGAAAAGTTTATTATTACTTACTAACATACGTAATGTGGCTTTATAAACTTGTATGAAGATAATTTAGTAGTGCCGCGTTTTCGTGACTTCTCTTCAAATTATATACTTTTATAGGTCCCTCACGATCCTATGAACACTATAAAATTGCCCTTATCTCACTTATTCCATGGAAATTTGGCAATATGAGCTTGTAGTCTCCGCGATAAGTCAGTATATTGCAGAACATTTCAGTGCGCGGACGGATTGTGGCTCGGATTATATATTTTACTAATTTTTGGCGGCAAAAAGGACAGCCGTTCTTATTATAAATATAATTTAATAAATTTATTTTCTCGTGCTCTGTTTTTACTTTAATTAAGCTTTCGATTCCGTGTTAATGGGTAATTACCAACAAAGTAAAGCGATTAGATAAAACGTCTTCACAAAGTCTGGAAATTCTGATTATCATTTTATTTGACCACAGATTATTGACCTAGATTTCGGTGCGGTTGAACGAACTTTAAAATTGTATTCTTTAATATTTAATACAAATATTCTTTAAGTTTTAATCGAGTTATGATATTTTAATTTAACTAGCTTTTCGCTGACTAGATTTCGTGTAAAATGCAGTCGTTGAAAACTGAAAATCTGCCGGAGAATCCTCGAGAGCGATCAAACATTATATCGGCACTATGTTTTTGGTAAGAAAGTGCAATTGTTAAACGAAAGAACTAAAGGTTTTCAAATTAATATAGGTATACCATGCCCACTTTCATGAAGGGACGCAAGAAAACATTGGTTGCAAAGGACCTTTACAGGCCCTTGAGGGAGCACAAGTCGGGTATGACTTCGGAAATATGTTACTTATTGGAACAACTTTCGAAATTAAATAATTTTACCAGATGCCCTTGGCAACAAATTATGCAGTTCCTGGGAACAAGAACTCGAGAGTCATAAGGAGGACTCCAGTTTACTGAGGACTCTTCTGCGGGTATTCGGCTGGAACTTTGTCTACCTTGGCCTAGTTCTCTTCATCGTTGAGGTCATACTGACGGTACAACCCATATTCCTGGCCAAGCTCATCTCGCACCACTCCCACAACTCGGAGTCCATGGAGGCGGCATATGCCTATGCGGCTGGAATAATTTTGTGCACTGCCTTTAGCGTAATCCTCTTACATCCCTACTCCTTTGCCATCACTCATCTGGGTGTGTTATCCACTCTTTCAAGTATCCCCCTATGCCTTTACATAATTCTCTTATTTGCAGGTCTCAAGATTCGGGTGGGTGTGAGCAGCATGGTCTACAGGAAAGCCCTTCGTCTAAGCAAGACGTCCCTCGGCGAAATTACTGCCGGGCACATAATGAATTTAATTTCCAACGACCTGGGCCGCATGGACACTTTCATCCAATTCACGCACTACCTTTGGTTGGCTCCACTGCAGACACTGGTGGTCACCTACCTTATGTACCAAGAGGTGGGTTCTCCAAACTATTAATCACCAAGTGATTTAAAGGCCAATTCCACTTCAGATTGGAATCTCCGCCGTGTTAGGCGTGTCCTTTATGGTGCTCTTCATACCCCTGCAAATGTATCTGGGTAACAAGATTTCGGAGCTGCGACTGAAGACCGCTCTTCGGACGGATAAACGGTTGCGGATGATGACCGAAATAATCTCCGGGATACAGGTAATCAAAATGTATGCCTGGGAGCTGCCATTTGAGCGGATGGTGGCCTACGCACGCGAGAAGGAGATCAATACCATCCGGCACATGGGCTACATAAAGAGCATTCTCTCATCCTTCCACAATTTCCTCACCCGCGTATCCATATTCCTCAGTTTGGTGGGATTTGTTCTACTGGGCCAGTTCCTCACGGCGGAAGTGGCCTTTCTAATCACCGCCTACTATAACGCTCTGCGCACAAATATGACCGCCTTTTTCCCATTGGGGATCACACAAACGGCAGAGACCCTCGTTTCCATGAAGCGTGTGGAGAAGTTCTTGAAATCCGGGGAGACGGAGGTCTCGAATGACAGGGTGGAATGTTCCAAAGCAGGAGGAGAACTCGATGAGGCTGAGACGAAACTGTTAGGAACTCCTCTTCCTGCCACTTCCACTGATAAACAGAATCATTCAAATGCGTACCTATCCATAACTGGACTCACAGCCAAGTGGGATACCAACTCACCCGATTACACACTGAATGGAGTAAGTCTGCGGGTCGAACCTGGCACTTTGCTGGCCATTGTGGGTCACACTGGCTCCGGAAAATCCAGTCTAATTCAAGCCATTCTGGGTGAGCTACGAGCCGAATCTGGCGAGATAAAGGTAAACGGATCGATGTCCTATGCCCCCCAGGATCCGTGGCTCTTCTCCGGCACAGTGCGTCAAAATATCCTCTTTGGCCTTCCCATGGACCGTCGTAGGTACAACTCGGTAGTAAAGAAGTGCGCTCTGGAACGAGACTTTGAGCTGCTTCCACTCAAGGACAAAACTATAGTGGGAGATCGTGGAGCTTCCCTGTCGGGTGGACAGAAGGCGAGGATCAGTTTGGCTAGGGCTGTCTACCGGGATGCCTCCATCTACTTGCTAGATGATCCGCTGAGTGCGGTGGACTCCAATGTGGCACGGCATCTCTTTGATCATTGCATGCGCGGTTATCTGCGCGACCGCATTGTCATCCTGGCCACCCATCAGCTGCAGTTCCTGCATCAAGCCGATCAGATAGTGGTCATGGATAGGGGATCGGTGGGTGCTGTTGGCACCTATGAGGCGCTCCTCAAGTCAGGAGTGGATTTCGGCAGCATATTGAGTAATACAGAGCCGGAAAGTAACGAGGAGCCGGAGGAGGTACGATCAAGAACCTCCAGTGTCACAGACCAGCGGCGCAACAGTGTGAAATCTGTGCTATCCAATGCGGAATCCTGTCCAGAGGATGCTTCGGAGGAACAAGTGATCAACCAGAAGCCACAAGAGGCGGGACAAAGCGGCTTGGGAGTGTACTTGGATTACTTCAGGGCAGGAGGTGGTCTCTTCGCCTTCCTCATAATGCTAAGTTTTTATTTGGGAGCCGAGGGCCTGGCCAAACTTGGAGACTACTTCCTGACTTTCTGGTAAGATTCGATTTGTTTGTATAATGCTTAAATATCGTGGACCATATGTATTCAATTCTTCGCATTTTAGGGTCTCCAAGAAACGCAATATGGTTGTTCAAGAAGGAACACCAAGCTCTGAAGTGGTGGATACAAGTTTTCTGTCATTCCTGCGAAATCTCGGCTTACCTTCGAATGTTGAAATGCTGGACACCTATATGTTCATGCTGATCACAGTGCTGACCGTTGTTGTGACCGTTAAAAGATCCTTTCTGTTCTACAACTTGGCAATGAAGGCATCGGTTCGGTTGCACGACTCTATGTTTCGTGGAATCTGTCGAGCTTCCTTGTACTTTTTCAACACGAACGCTTCGGGTGGTATTCTGAATCGCTTCTCCAAGGACATGGGACTGGTCGATGAAATGCTGCCCACTTTAATTATGGCCGTCATCCAGGGCTTTCTTTCGCTGGCCGGCACTATCCTTGTGATATCCATTGTCAATCCCTTGTTCCTCATACCCGCACTAATACTTGGTGTTCTCATCTTTCACATGCGCACCATTTATCTGAAAACTTCGCGGGCTGTTAAGCGTTTGGAAGCCACTGGTGAGTTATAAATAATGGAAAGTACTGACATAACCCCCTTTAAAACCCCAATCTTTAAATAGCTCGATCTCCGGCGTACTCTCATTTGACTGCTTCTCTGACCGGTCTTTCCACGATCCGTGCCTTTGGAGCCCAGAGAATTTTAGAGGCGGAGTTTGATGGTTACCAAGATATGCACAGCTCCGCCGCCTACATGTTCATTAGCACCTCGCGCTTCTTTGGCTATTGGATGGACATGTTCTGTATGCTCTATATAGCGATCGTCACGCTGGGCTTCTTCATCTTTCCGCCGGCCAATGGAGGCGATGTGGGTCTGGCTATATCACAGGTAACAACCGCAGAAGCCAACATTCTATAGAAACTTTACTTTTCCAATATTTGCCAGGCCATAGGCTTGATGGGCACAGTCCAGTGGGGTATCCGTCAGTCAGCTGAGTTGGAGAACAACATGATTTCCGTGGAGCGAGTAACTGAGTACGAAGACATTGAGTCGGAAGGAATACTCGAAGCCCCAGCTGATAAGAAGCCACCTAAGTCGTGGCCAGAGCAAGGAAAGATAGTGTTTGATGAGCTAAGCCTGCGCTATTCGCCGGATCCGAAGGCGGAGACTGTGCTCAAGTCACTTAGTTTCGTCATCAAGCCAAAGGAAAAGGTGGGCATTGTGGGACGCACTGGGGCGGGCAAGTCCTCGCTGATAAACGCCCTCTTCCGACTGTCCTTCAACGATGGAACCGTGCTCATAGACAAGAGGGACACAGGTGAGATGGGTCTGCACGACCTGCGCAGCAAGATCTCCATTATTCCCCAGGAACCCGTTCTGTTCTCTGGCACAATGCGACACAACTTGGATCCCTTTGACGAGTACAGCGATGAGAAGCTCTGGCACTCCTTGGAGGAGGTCAAGATGAAGGATGTGGTGGCCAATCTGGCCACTGGCCTAGAGACCAAGGTCACCGAGGGAGGAAGTAACTTCAGCGTGGGCCAGCGCCAGTTGGTCTGCTTGGCTCGGGCCATTCTGCGCGAGAATAGAATCCTTGTGATGGACGAGGCCACGGCCAATGTGGATCCCCAGACGGACAGCCTCATCCAGGCAACCATTCGGAACAAGTTCAAGGAGTGCACTGTCCTGACGATTGCCCATCGACTGCACTCCATCATGGACTCGGACAAGGTAATAGTTATGGATGCCGGCCGAGTTGTGGAGTTCGGCTCGCCTTACGAACTACTGACTGTGGCTGATTCCAAGGTGTTCCACGGCATGGTTAAGCAGACGGGGCAGACTAATTACGAAGGTCTCCAGAAGATTGCTCAAAAAGTAAGGCGATTTACTTGTAAAATACTTAACAAAAATTTAACTACCTTGCTCATTTCAGGCTTTCGAAGATGCCCAGAATCCGAGGCGCAGCTTTTCTTCTTAAAGACCCGCAAAGTTATAGTTAAAATGAAATCTACCTCAACAATTAGTTTAAAAATAGTTTTTTACAATAAATAAAAGCAATCTCGACAAATTTTACAACGTTTTCTTTGAGATCATTTGAAGTACTTAGTTTCGTTAAATTGATATTTACACATTTCTATACCCTTGCCGAGGGTATTATAAATGTCTTTGTGGAAATGTGTCCAAAAACTGCACTTCTAAGCCCATAACTTTTCTTGCAGACATCCGATTTCAAAGTGACATACATCTAAATGATTGTGGGTTTATTCTCTAAAAACTGCATTTTCAGTTTGGTTTGTCATTTTGGGTCGGTTTTTCGTCATTTTTATAATGCTAACCCCTTTCCAAATTTTCGAAAAAATGGCTTTGTGGAAATGTGTCCAAAAACTGCACTTCTAAGCCCATAACTTTTCTTGCAGACATCCGATTTCTAAGTTCTAAATGATCGTGGTTTAATTCTCTAAAAAATTGTATTTTCAGATTGGTTTGTAATTTTTGGTCGATTTTTGGTCATCTTCATAATGCTAACCCCTTTCCAAATTTCCGAAAAATGGCTTTGCAGAATATTGTCCAAAAACTGCACTTCTAAGCCCATAACTTTTCTTGCAGACATCCGATTTTAAAGTGGCATACTTCTAAATGATTGTGGTTTAATTCTCTAAAAAACTGCATTTTCAGTTTGGTTTGTAATTTTGGGTCGGTTTTTCGTCATTTTTATAATGCTAACCCCTTTCCAAATTTTCGAAAAATGGCTTTCCAGAAAAGTGTAAAAAAACTGCACTTCTCAGCCCATAACTTTTGTTACAGACATCCGAATTTAAAGTGGCATACTTCTAAATGATTGTGGTTTACTTCTCTAAAAACCTGCATTTTCAGTTTGGTTTGTAGTTTTTGGTCGATTTTTCATTTCCTAATTTTGGAAAAATGACTTTGTAGAAAAGTGTCCAAAAACCAAAAGGTATTTATCAAATTATTAAAGTGAATTAAAAGTTTAAATTAGGTTATTTAATGGCAGATAAGTATACTAACAAATAAATTAATTGAAACAAATTAGAAAGCCAGATATCTTATCTTTGAGCGCTCCATCACATTTAAATAGACCTATCTTAACGGTTATTATATTATTAAGGCGAATTAAAATTCCCAGATATGTAATCTGTATCTGTTATCTAAAGATTTCAATTCGGGGCGGAAAATAAATCTAGTGTTTTACTGAATTACAACAAGCGTTATCTAATCACTAAGAGCTTTCCCCATGAAGGTTGTAATGACACTGTAAAATCCATTGAAAGTTATCTATAGCCTAGAACGTAGAATGAGAAATAAATAAATACACATGAATTCAAAATAAGCCTAGTCATAAATAAAATAATTGAACCAATTAAATTGTAGTTTCATACATATTTATGAAAGTACATAAATATATTTATTAAAAGATTTCACTATTATAGCATTAAATGTGATAGTGACGTATTAAAATAACTTTAAAATAAAAAAAACGCCCTCGCATGCATACTTTTAAGTGCATACATATTATTGTAAGTACATAAACAAATATATCTTATCTTTAAAAGGTTCACCCTAATGTTTTGAAGGTGAAGTGGCAATGTAAATAAATATATGTATGTATATACATACATATCTCAATCAGCGCTCTCCCACACATATGTACGCACATGTAACGCGTCAGCTGGTCGAACAGCTGATCCAGTTCGACGGGCGTTTGATTTGGCATCGAAGCGTTTTTTTACGCGACCATTGAACAGCGGAGCGTCGTGGACGGCCCAAGTGATTTGTTTATTACGTATCTACTGCGGAGTGGAAAGTTTTCAGTTCCCAATTCAATTTGTGTTATCAAGTGGCCAAATCCTGTTGCAGCATCTGTCGAGTTTAATTGAAACACATAGATACATTCGTTGTTTACTTTCATAAAAACATTAAGTTTGTTGATATGATTGAATACAAACAAATCCCGTCTTAATTATTTATACAAGCTTGTGAAATTACTTACATAATCATGCAGGCCAATAAACTGCCCCCCAATCCGCGCGAGTCGGCAGGTATTCTATCCTCGCTAATGTTCTGGTACGCAAAAGTTTCATCTTACCGCTAGGAAATTGTGTTTCATGTGTAATCACATGCCAAATACTCTTACCTTTAAGAGTCAACTGCCGCTGAGTGACATCCGAAGCCAAGCGTTATCGGATTCCACATATTGTTCGTAGCATTACTCTAAATTGCCCGTCGTTGCGAAATCAATTTACATAATTGTTCTCTTATTCCAGCTATGCCCTGCCCATTCTGTTTAAGGGGCGCCGGCAGACGCTCCAACCCACGGATCTGTACAAACCTCTAAACGAACATGAAGCTGAGAGCCTGGGCAGTGAGTTCTTTCGAGGATGGGAGGACGAGGTGGCCCGGTGCCGGCAGAAGGGCAATTCCCGCCGGGAGCCAAGTGTACTCCGGGTCATCGGACGCGTCTTTGGCTGGCAACTAATCCTATCCGGCATTGCCATTGCCATCTTGGAACTCGGCACCAGGTTAGAGCCTTGGGTTTTAACAATCGATAAGTCACTGATAATTATAACAATTCATTTTATTTCAGGGCTACGGTGCCGCTTCTTTTGGCCGGGCTCATATCGGAGTTCAGTGCCAATGGAAATGGTAATAGCTACTCTGCGCAGATCTATGCTGTACTCTTGATATCCTGCGTCTTGTCCAGCGTCCTGCTAACTCATCCTTTCATGATGGGTATGATGGTAAGAATCCATTTAAAACCAATTGCAATATCACGAAATACATTTTATTCTAGAAATCTGATAGGTTCGATTCGCTGGTCTTAAAGAATTTAAATAATTTATAGAGTTTTATTTTTTGTAACAAATACAATTTAAAACTGCTTTGAATATATGTTGATTTACTTACAATTCGACTTTAAGTCGATTTGATACTCCTTAACATAAATTTACCTAACTAATAGTTCAAATACATTTAATATTAGTGTTCATATTAATTTAAATATTACATTATTCAATTCAAACGCAACATACCCAAGTGGAGGTGTTAAAATCGTAACTCTATAATGATCTTGTCACGTTGAACCATTTCTAATTATTTCTTACTGAATCTTTCCAGCACATAGCCATGAAGATGAGGGTCGCAGTGAGCAGTGCTATCTATCGAAAGGCCCTGCGCCTAAGCCGCACATCGCTGGGTGATACCACAATCGGTCAGGTGGTGAACCTGCTCTCCAACGACCTCAACCGCTTCGATCGATGCCTTATTCATTTCCATTTTCTATGGCTGGGTCCGCTGGAGCTGCTAATCTCCGCCTACTTCCTGTACCAGCAGATCGGAGTGGCTTCCCTTTATGGCATCAGCATCTTAATACTCTACCTGCCACTGCAGACTTACTTAAGCCGAGTTACCTCCAAATTACGCTTGCAGACTGCTCTCCGGACGGACGAGAGGGTGCGAATGATGAACGAGATCATCTCGGGCATCCAGGTGATCAAGATGTATACATGGGAGCGTCCATTCGGGAAATTAATTGAGCAGATGCGTCGCAGCGAGATGAGCGCCATACGCAAGATGAATCTGTTGCGTGGCGTCTTGCTCTCCTTTGAGATTACCCTTGGACGCATAGCCATCTTTGTAAGCCTATTGGGATTTGTCCTAATGGGCGGTCAGTTGACGGCAGAACGGGCTTTCTGCGTCACTGCCTTCTACAACATCCTTAGGCGCACTGTGAGCAAGTTCTTTCCCAGTGGAATGTCACAGTTTGCCGAACTACTGGTCTCCATGCGTCGTATCAAGAAATTTATGATGCGCGAGGAGGCAAATATAATTGATGTGTCAGAAGAAACGGAAGAAAAACCTGCTGAGGAGCAACATTTACTGGCGAAGAAGCTGCAGAATTCTTTAGGAAATGGCAAGGTATCGGAAGTCCAAATAAACATCAAAGGCTTAAGGGCACGCTGGAGCATGGAACATAATGAACCCGTCCTGGACAACATCAATATGTCGCTGCAAGGTGGCAAACTAGTAGCTGTAATCGGACCTGTGGGATCTGGAAAATCAAGTCTCGTTCAGGCAATCCTAGGCGAGTTGCCGCCTGAATCAGGATCTGTTGAAGTGCTGGGCAGGTACTCGTACGCCTCACAAGAACCATGGCTTTTCAATGCCTCTGTGCGCGACAACATCCTGTTTGGTTTGCCCATGGACAAGCAACGCTATCGAACCGTTCTGAAAAGGTGTGCCCTGGAACGGGACTTAGAGTTGCTGCAAGGTGATGGAACCATCGTGGGCGAGCGCGGAGCTTCCCTGTCCGGCGGTCAGAGAGCTAGAATCAGTTTGGCTCGAGCTGTGTACCGCAAGGCAGATGTCTACCTCTTGGACGATCCCCTCAGCGCAGTGGACACGCATGTGGGTAGGCATCTCTTCGACGAATGCATGCGGGGCTTCTTGGGTAAAAAGTTGGTGGTACTTGTCACCCACCAGCTGCAGTTTCTGGAGCACGCCGATCTCATTATAATCATGGATAAGGGAAAGGTATCAGCCTGCGGCACATACGAGGAGATGCTAAAGAGCGGACAGGACTTCGCCCAACTTTTGGCTGAGAGCACTCAAAATGGGGGAGGAGATAATGCGGATGAGAAGTCTCCGACCTATTCCCGCCAGAGCAGCTCTCAAAGCACGGGCAGTGCCGGAGGAAGCTCCTCCTCGCTGGAATCCATGGTGGAGAAGGAAAAACCAAAGCCAAGTGCAACTGCAGTGCAGGAATCCCGTAGTGGTGGTAAAATTGGCATGGCCATGTATAAAAAGTATTTCGGCGCAGGCTGTAGCCTTTTGGTTTTCGCATTGCTGGTGTTCCTGTGCACTGGCACGCAACTTTTGGCGTCTGGCGGGGATTACTTTCTATCGTACTGGTGAGTTTTCTACACACAAGCTAAATGTATACTTGCATACTAATTAAATCTATTTTTCATAGGGTTAAGAACACATCGACTTCGTCAACGCTGGACATTTATTATTTCACTGCCATCAATGTGGGCCTGGTTATTTGCGCGCTACTTAGGACCATGCTTTTCTTCAACGTGACCATGCATTCTTCTACCGAGCTGCACAACACCATGTTCCGCGGTGTGTCCCGCACGGCTTTGTACTTTTTCCACACTAATCCCTCCGGCCGGATCCTTAACCGTTTCGCCATGGACCTTGGACAGGTGGATGAGGTACTGCCCGCCGTAATGTTGGATTGCATACAGATCTTCCTTACCTTAACTGGCATAATCTGCGTGCTGTGCTTAACCAACCCGTTGTACCTGATCAGCACAATCGCCATGGTATTGGCATTTTACTATTGGCGTGATTTTTATCTAAGTACGTCGAGGGACGTGAAACGCCTGGAGGCAGTGGCTCGGTCGCCGATGTACTCGCACTTTAGTGCCACTCTTAGTGGACTTCCAACCATCCGGGCTATGGGCGCTCAAAAGACATTGATTGGCCAGTACGATAACTACCAGGATCTGCACAGCTCCGGCTACTACACATTTGTATCCACGAGTCGGGCTTTTGGCTACTACTTGGATCTTTTCTGTGTAGCGTACGTGATATCGGTGATATTGAACAGCTTCTTTAATCCCCCATTAGACAATCCTGGCCAGATTGGCCTGGCCATCACCCAAGCACTGGGCATGACAGGCATGGTGCAATGGGGAATGCGCCAGTCCGCCGAACTGGAGAACTCCATGACCTCAGTGGAGCGAGTGCTTGAGTACAAGGACCTGGAAAGTGAGGGAGATTTCACTTCGCCGGCGGACAAGCAACCACCAAAGAATTGGCCAGAAGGAGGTCAATTGGTAACAAAGGATCTAAGCTTGAGATACGTGCCAGATCCTAAAGGGGATTACGTGCTCAAGGGGCTAAACATTACGATCAAGTCCGAGGAGAAAGTAGGCATCGTGGGACGTACTGGTGCGGGCAAATCCTCGCTGATTAATGCACTATTCCGACTCTCCTACAACGAGGGAGCAATAGTCATCGACGGACGGGACACAAGTGAGATGGGTCTGCACGAACTGCGCAGCAAGATCTCGATTATTCCGCAAGAACCAGTGCTCTTCTCCGGTACCATGCGGTACAACTTGGATCCCTTCGAGCAGTATCCCGATGAAAAGCTTTGGAAGGCTTTGGAAGAGGTGAGATTAAGTGGTTTCTTGAAAATAGCACATGTGATTTACAAACCATCTTATTTTAGGTTCACCTCAAAGAGGAAATCTCAGAGTTGCCCACGGGTCTGCAGAGCAGCATTTCCGAGGGTGGAACCAACTTCAGCGTGGGTCAGCGCCAGTTGGTCTGCTTGGCAAGGGCCATTTTGCGCGAGAATAGAATCCTTGTGATGGACGAGGCCACGGCCAATGTGGATCCGCAGACGGACGCCCTTATCCAGGCCACTATTCGGAACAAGTTCAAGGACTGCACTGTCCTGACGATTGCCCACCGTTTGAACACCATCATGGACTCGGACAAGGTGTTAGTTTTAGACGCAGGTGAAGTCGTCGAATTTGGATCGCCCTATGAGCTCCTAACGGAGTCAGAGACCAAAGTGTTCCATGGAATGGTAATGCAGACGGGAAAAGCCAGCTTCGACCATCTCCTGAAAGTTGCCCAGAATGTAAGTACTTAAATCAACAAGAAATATTTTAAAATATTTAATATACTTTCCATTTATTGCAGGCCAATGAAAACCATATTTAAGCTAAAAGCTAACTTCTTAGAATGTAAGTCTATATATTCAATATCGGGCTCTCTTGTTTATGGCTGTGGATGAGTTCTTAGGTCAATGTTCCCTGCCAAAAAAAAAACAATTTGTACTTAAAATAGTAAAAAAATGACAATATATACACATAAATAAAATTTACAAATAAATATGCATTTATGAAAATTAAGAATGGGCTATTAATATAGTTGTTATAAACAATTTATATTTGAAAATGGTTTTAAAGTAGCCCAATTTTTCATATGGCGACTAAATAATGTAGTTCCCCATTTGATTAATCCTAAAAGAGCAAAATAAAGTTACTTGTAAATGCCTATAAGTTTCATAACTGCTCCCATTGAAATATTCTCCGTAAATTACCAAAATAATTGATGTTTTTTATTTTTAACATTATCTCTCCTCATACAAAACATTATTGTGTCGTCTTGTTCGATTAAAAATAAGTTTAGGCCGACTCCAGCGAGCGGATGATGTCAGAATCTCCGGGATCGGTGATGGACAGGGTGCACACGCGGAAGTATTTACCGCAGGCGGTTCCCAGCTCGATGTTGGTGCCGCTGTAGTGCTGGACCTCAGTCTTGGCCAACATGGCGTAGTACTCGATCTCAGACTTCCTGAAATGGAGCGAAACAAGCTACATTAGCAACAATGCCTTTAAAATGGGGAAGGTGACCTGCTGGTTTTGCAGTCAGAAAGAGTCTCTAGTAATAAAATGGATTCGTCAAGGCATTCGGAATCATAGGATCATCATGGTGTGGATAAATTAAACCTATATTATGAAGACTTCTTACCCCAAGCGATGTGGGCCCGTCGTTGGTGGAACCATGTGGAGGCGCAGATATAAAGCGAACCAGTCCGAAGCTTGAGATTGATTGTACTACTCCATAGTTTCCATCATCAACTACTCCGCTCGGAAACATACTTCTCAGTCAGCTTTAAGGCAGACTCCATATGGTTCCAACAAAAACGGCAACTTGGGCGCAGTGGAAATCTACTTCTCAATAGCACAACTAGGATCTCTATCCCGATCGCGATCTCGATCTCACCTCAGGGCGGGGGTGTTGCTGGCGATGAGCACCAGTTTGGCCTTGCCCTGACGCAGGGTCTTTAGGGTCTGTTTGTAGCCCAGGCAGTATTTGCCAGACTTCATCACCAGCGCCAGACGCGCATTGGTGCTCTCCAGCGCCTTCTTTTGTTTCTTAACAGCAACCATGTTGATAGTTCAAGTTAAAGAGCACTGCAAATGGTAAAATGTGAATTAGTTAAGCAACTTTAACGAGGTGCTCAGAAAACACCCACCTTCGTCGGCTGACAATGGCAAAAAGAAAGAGGAAGAGCTAGCGGAAATGGGAATCACGTTTCGATACGCAGGGTTGCATCGTGCAGAGATGCTAAACATCGTTGGCTCTATCGATACATCGCCAGAGAAACGCTGATTGGGTGAGTAACTCCGCTAAGCGAAACAGTTGGCAACGCGAGTACGGTGGGAATCTTTGCTAAGTGAAACTGTTGGCAACGCGGTTATTAAGTTCGAAAATTTATAAATGCCAACTTGTTTTATTTATGGCAGTAGCGCCAAATTTAAATATGCATGAAATGTTTAGGTTAAGCCAAATAATAATTGTGAAGCTAATAGTTTTTTTTTTCACAAACATATTTTTTAAAAGTCAAATTCTCTAATGAAATGTACAGAATATTTTCTAGATCCATGATTGCATGTATTCTTCATTAGTTAAAAGTTCTTTACTTTTTTCTACTCGGGTAGTAAAAAAGTGTGACGCAAGTTTTTAATCTAAAGCCAAACCCAGAATCAGCAAATTTTATTTCTACAAATAATTAATAACTAATGTAATATTAATGCCAAAGCGCCACGATGTCAAAGCACTTGAAATATTAATTGATAAATAATAAGTTTAAGGCAAGATCTGACGATCCGACAACTGAACAAAAAATAATAAACGAAAATTTGATTGAAAGATTGAATCAAAGTGTCCCTGGTGGTCCTTGCCCTCATAAAAACGCAAATCAGAATGGTCTGTTTTGGGATGGACGACAGTGATCCTTCTGCTCCTAGTGATCTTGCTTAATAACGCTCGCCACGGATGCGGCGCGCCAATTGTAAGTCCTTGGGCATAATTGTCACGCGCTTGGCGTGGATGGCACACAAGTTACAATCTTCGAAGAGACCCACCAAATAAGATTCTAAAGCTTCTTGCAGGGCTTCGATGGCCGCCGCCTGGAAGCGCAAATCAGTCTGCAAATTCTGGGCGATTTCACGCACCAGGCGTTGGAAGGGGAGCTTGCGGATGAGAAATTCGGTCGACCTTTGGTAACGACGGATCTCACGAAGGGCCACGGTTCCGGGACGATAACGATGGGGCCTCTTCACTTCGCCGGTGGATGGCGACGACTTGCGGGCGACCTTGGTGGCCAGCTGCTTACGGGGATCCTTTCCTCCGGTGGACTTTCGGGCGGTCTGCTTGGTACGGGCCATATTAACTTCTTATCTCAAACGTTGAACACGAAGGAAAGCTGATATTTTCACAATTGAATACTTTCACACGAGAACTATGATAGATACGATTCGGACGAACAACATTTCACAATGAACCTTTTTTGATATTGCTCTATGACAAATAAAACGTATTTTCAAAATTAAATTACTTTTAATTTTAAAAGAAAGTTTTATATATTTTATCTTTTACCAATATCTATTACCAATTTCGTAAAACTTATTCCACATAAAGTGTAAGTCCAAGATATGCGAATTACTGAAAAATGTTTTATTATAAACGAATAGATTTTTTTGGGGTAAAGCCGTAGGTTTCATTATTTAACAATGTACTGATATTGTCAAATTCATCTTCTAGGAAAAATATAAATACTGGCCTAACATCATCTTAATTGGTGATTTTAAATATTCACAAAACTGTTTTAAGGACTTGTGATATTCGACAGTTGGTGTGTGCATTAAAGAATCCTTAGCTGCGTGTTTTTAAACGACTCATCCGCCGTGTGGCTGCCTTGATGTCGTGTCAAGCTTCTACGTCGAATTATTGAATAAATACATAGTTCCGCACGACGAAAGGGTCCGCAACGCCAAATGAATTATACAACGTGGAACAGGGGGGCAAAAGGAGGGGGATGGAGGCGTTGGCCCGGATCCGTAGCCCTCCGTGCATCAGTACCCGGAGTCAGACGCAGACCGGCACGTGACACCCCAACCCAGCACAACTCCAGCACATGACCCACAGTCATAAAGTTGCCTGTTTGGTCGTCCTGAGCTCATCATCGGCTTCGCTGCGTGCGTGCGCACTCGACTCGACTCGATTCCAGACACAATCTGTGGCCTAGCCCGGCTTATAAATGATGCACAGGCCTTTGGCACTGGCTGCTGGAACCTTTCAGTCCGGGACTTCAACGCTTCGATTGTCGGGCTGTAATTCAACGCCATTTACGTGACCCCCACTCCGCCGGCGTCGTCAGCCGTGGCCGCATGCTGCCAGGAATGATTGCCGCCTGCCATCCACCACTGTGGGTGGTGGCGCCTCGTCTGGGCTCGTTTCTGGCCCCCACTTCCTCCCCCGGCGACGCGTGCTGCAACACGGATAACGTACAACCTTTGACACGGAGCCGGGCTCCCAGTTCTTCCTCTAGCTGGCTGTGTCCTTGCCAATAGCCACGGGGGAAGTCTGGACTCCCTGGGCGAAAATAAGTGCAAGTCCCGATGAAATGAAGTTGCGGAATGCCCTTGGTCATGGGGTGTTTACTGGTCCCCTATATATAATAAAAGACTCAATTAGAGGATTGACTCAAATCATTTCCCTGTGGTATCTTACGTGATTGGGAGCGTTAGCAGGACTTAAAGCAATATAATTTTTGTGGAAGAGTTTGAAAAACTAAAGCACCGAGAGTCTTAATCGAAATTAGGATATTTCGTAAATTCTTTGCTTTTTATCTTGGAAATCTTCAAAGCATAAAGACTTATGCATAAATAGAAACCAAGAAAAATAAATAATATTTCCAAAACAAATGCTTTTATCTCGTCTCAGTTTTCATTTAAATCTTGCAAAAGTTTTTATACAAAACATTTACTTTCTCAAATTATGTAATTGTGAGTTAAATTCTTATTCTTTAAAATACATATCCAAAAAGATTACTTTTTAAAAACGTTTTTAAAACAGAAAATCCTAATTTGTACTACTTTGTAATTTTTGACTTTTTTGTCACTCTAATGGAATACAATATAACCCTTTAGAAAACAGTTGTTCTTGATTCTTATATACTTTTAAAACGCTCTTGGCACAGTTTATACTAACAAGTTTGTAGCAATGGAGATATGAAGTTATAAGCTTCAAAACGGTGAGTCTTATGTCTCACAAACTTCTAGAATAAAGTCGAAATTCTACACCTGAACTTTGGAAAGCCATGGCGTCGAGCAATGTGCAGACCACCTTCGATCGCCTGGTGCAACTGCCGGGCGTGGTTGGGGCCATCCTGATCGACGGCGATGGAGTGCCCGTGCGGACCAATATGACGGCGAGTGCTGCCGAGATGTACGCCAACCGGATGAGGCCGCTGGTCACGCTGGCCCGCTCCATGGTCCATGACATCGAGCCCGACGACCATCTCAGCTACGTACGGCTGCGCACCCGGCGGCAGGAGCTGATGGTGGCCACCGAGAACCAGCACACGATCATCCTCATCCAGGACAACCAGGCGCTGGATGAATCCCGGCGGAACAGTGCCGCCTCGCGCAGGGCTTCGAGGGAGTAGGGGAGTAGTGGAGTAGGGTCCTGCATGCGGGCAGCATAAACAAAATGACATAAACAAGCTGCGACAGGAGGGGGGAGGTTCGGTCGGGTGAAAAGTCCTTGCACGGGCGAGCTCGCAAATCCCAAGCACAGCACTGAAATTGTGAGCCGGGCATTGCTGCGCTCGAAAAAAGCACGCAAAATAAAAATCCACATCCAGGCAGGGTAAATTGTGTTTGTGTACCCTTGTTGAGGGTCCTTTAATTTCGGCCAGCGGCTTGTGGAGTGTTTAACCAGACATAATCGATACTACAGAGGGTAACTATTTATACCATTTAGTCATTAAAAATGCATTTAACGTTTTAATTTACATAAGTACTAAGTCACAAAATTTAATAATATTTTGTTATTAAAATATTAATCATGAAATGAGTCTTTTTCGATCCTTTTTTATGTCCACTTCTAAATCGGCTGTATTAATATACTGTTAAATAATATAAGAACTTTGTTTTCATAATTTAACTAAGTTAACATAAAATAATAAAGTAAATTTGTATAAAAATTATTATATCATTGAATTTACTTCGAAAAAAAATATTAAGTTTGATATAGGAAATGAAAATGACCAAACCAAATATATGATATTATATTTTATAGAAGACATGAACTTTCTATTTTCTGCTAGCTTAATTTTATTTTAGTACGTTAATACCTAATATAATTGTTTTCTGTTTATGTAGGGTGTTCCAAGTTCGGTGATAAGTGCTGCCTTCCCCATGCTTTTTTCTGAGTTCGTTTCGATTGCTGGCAACAACCGGCTGCCGTCACGCCATCAAGCATTCATGCCAACAGCAACAACAAGGACGAAGAGGTGGAGGAGGAGGTGGGGGAAAAGGACCCGCAGAGCAGCCTGTCGCCTGCACACTTACACACACTCGTGGACACGCACACACCCAGGCACACTTACACAGCAACACGCCAAGCTTTACACGCCTCCGCACGCGTCACACGAAAGCACGAAACCAATTTAAGCACCCACATTCTCTCACCCAATTAGTCGCACACAGCTCACCCACACCCCCACGCCCCGCACCCCACATCCACATCCTGACAGACCCTCCTCCTCCTGGTTTGTCCCGCCCACGCACACTCTGTCGGGCTGGTTGTCGTCCTCGTCCTCGTCCCCCTGCTCCTTGTCGTCCTCGCCCTCGAGTTGAGTAGAGTCGAGTCGAGTCGAGTCGTTATCCTCGCGTGCGCACGCTGCATACTTTCTGGCTGAGCTCGCCTAAGGGGTATCAGTGGGTATATTGGGCTACTGGATCCATGCCAAGTCTTGCAATATGTGTCTTGGAAGATCTTGCCAACTTAATAGTTTGTTTTCTTTGTTATAATATACCTGAAGGATGTTGACTTTCAATATACTTGTTCGCAATCGGAATTGATTAAGATATTGATTTATTAATACTTACACCAGCTTGATTAGAATAAAAATTATTTATTTTGCCTCATTTTAACCTTTTATTTTGAATTTATAAAAACAAAGAATTATAAAGATAGCTCTTAATTATAACTTTGTTATCTAGTATCAACCTTAATAAGTTATATTGTTGTTATATTTTGATCAACTTTTTTGTTTCTAAGCTTACAGTTAAAGAATGGTTTAAACGAAGACTCTTACTTACGTATTATATACATTTGAAGAAAACTTTAAAAGATTGGCTTGTTTTTGCGGCTTGACTGCTTAATTGTAAAAAGATTAGCCATCTTTGTTGGAATTATTTGTAATACATAATTATATTATAGGAAACCTTTAGTCCTGTAGACGTCTCTCAGAATTGTGAAATCGTTGTTGCTGTCATTGTGCCATCATCAGCGCCATAAGTAGCAGTCAGCAGTTGCCTCCGTCAGCGCCAGTAAGTTGTGCCGCCTGGTGGTGATGGTGTCGCTGTCGAAGAGTCGGAGGATGGAGGAGGGGCTGGAGTGTGTTGGCCAGGATTCAGGGTGCAGGGGAGTGAAGGGGGGGCTTGTGCGCAGCCACAGAAACACCAACAGCCGTAGAGTGAGTTTGTGTCTGTGTGGGAATGGGACTGGGACTGGAACTGCGGACGGGGACGACCATCAAGCGACACGATAATCTCGCACGTCGCATTTTTAGTTGCTGTTGCTGCTGCCACAGTCGTTGCCTGCTGTAGAATGTCCTTGTTGTTGCCGTCGAGCTGCCACACCCACCGCCCATCGCACTACCGCCCCCGGCAGCACGAGTCCTGGAGTCTGGTCCTGGCAGAAAGCCAAATGTGGCAAGTGGCTGATGTTGCTGCCGTGCTGTTGCTGTTGCTGCCGTGCCGATGTTGCTGTTGCTGTTGCTGTTGCTGTTGCCCTCCATTGCTGCTGTTGCTGCTGCTGTGGGGGGGGTGACAGGAAGAGAAGGGGATGATGGGGGAATGGTATTTGCCAGGACTAGAGTTTGCCGGGGTCCGGAATTCTGTGTCTGCGTCGAGTTGCCTCCGTTGCAAATGTGTGCGATGAGGGGCGAGCGACCGACAAATGCTTTCGAATTGCCAGGACAATCAAACCGCTTACACGTACAGTGGGGCACATTGAATTATTATTCGGCTGGGAGGTCGCTGAAGTGGACAGGATATATAAACAATTCATAAATTATTATTCGGTCTTGAAACAAATTCTTTTTAAAGTTTATATAACGCTTGTCATATTTATTTTATACTTTTAGTTTTAGTTATAGATGTTTTTTCAATATCTAAAAAATTATAAAACATTTTAATATCTTTTAAAAACACCTTAGTTATTTCCATATTGTAAATTAGTTTGTTTGAAAAAGTTTGTTTGAAAAACTAACAACAAAATATTCTTATCATTTGGAGATATAGAAAATATATTTGTTTAAGTACAGGTGGAAGAGCTTTTACATTATTATAATTGATTTGATTTTTGGAAAGTTGCTTGTATCGGTATTGTTATTGCATTCACAATGCTAGGTTCGCAAAATAGTGGAATATAAATGATGCCTTCCCTATAGTTATGATCATTATTCGATTGATTTCAGAAATATATTCAAACTAGTCAAACTACAGGTAAGATGCTAACTACTCTGAAATGAAACCAATTTGTAAAAAATTCTAGCCTTCGCAGTTAAAAAGTACCTTCTTGAATTTGGACTGCCCGAGCTTTTAGTTGTTTGTTTTTGGCTATAATCATATCCCAACGGCGGCTCCAGGTATGGCTTTATCCGACTGGAGTGGCCCCAATTAATGCCACACTGTGTGGCAATATCAACAAGCGCCTGTTTCTGACGATGCTCTCGAGCACCAGAGACACACTTCAGCCAGCGCCTTTTTCATGCCGTTGCGCCTTGGCCTGTCTGCGGGTGGAAGTGGGCGGTGGTGGGTGGTAGTGGGTGGGCTGTGGGCTGTGGGGCGTGGTCCGGGCCTGTTTATTATCGCCCATCAGCGACCACCTTCTGGTGGAAGTTTCGCCGTTGTCGCCGCGTCTTGTTGTCGGCCGAACGAGGATGACAAATAAAAAACTTTGGCAAGGCACGGAAGCCTGCTGGCGGCATTCGCATAACGATGTCGGTGACTGCGGCGATGACTCCTTCCCCTGATCCTGACCCCCCACTCTATCCATCCCTTACTACCTCCCCCCTCCCTCCCAAATCCTGCCTAAGCCCAAGTCCTGTGCACAGACTGGCGCACTTTTGAAGTTTGAGCTAAGTGACATGCTGTTTATTGTCGAGAGTGTTAAAATGTGCGCCCTGTATGTGTGAGTTTGCCTTGTAAGTGTGCCTTATCCTGCGAATGTCTGTGTGCCAGCCGCTGAGTGTGTGCGTGTGGCTGCCACAGTGCGGGGCAAGAAATTATAATGCCGAGCTTGAACACCGCACGCGCGCTCCGCAACGCCAGTGCTAAATGTACACTGGAAACTAATTTCGTGCCTTATTAACTTTATGTTGTAATGTTTAAGCTCATGTCCTCAGTTAAACAACGAGTTTTTCTGTTCTCATTTACTTTTCAGCTAAAAGTTTTCGGGATGGTTAGTATAAAATCTATCCCAAAAATCCGACGGCGGTATAGAATTTTTTTGGGAATAATATTTTTAAAACCTACTCTCTTGTTGGTAAAAGGTTTCTGTGGCAACGAGATTTGATTTTTTAATGGAATGTGCTTGGAAGCGGTTTCTGTGACACCCTTCAATATTTTAGTAAGGGATTTTAAGTGGTTTTATATAAGAATAGATTTTAAAAAATCTGGGTAAGATAAAAGCCGTGGATTTGAACACTTAACCTTTTAGTAGAAAGACACAATAAGATTCCGTATACAAATGAGCATTTATTGAAAATAAATTCTTAACTTATTTATTCTACATTTTGGTCGTCCCCCTTTCGCTCAGTGTATCTTTTCACTAAAGGTTCAGCATGTTTCGGTTCACGCTCTCGCCGCCATGCCGCCAAATACATACAAACAGACAGGCGACGACGGCATAGGAATAGGAATGGCTGCTCCTGGTACTGGCTGGCTGGCTGCCTGGCTGGCTGGCTATGTAGTCCTTGGATGTGCCACAGCACATAGCACGAACGCAGGAGCACCACGCCAAAGTTGCCGGCTGTGGCATTGCGATGGCATCGGGCCAGGACCAGGACCACGACCAGGACGATGGCGTTTCCTGCCTTCTGCCTTCTGTCCGCTCGTCCGTTCGTCCGTGGCACGTACTTTAGAAATTCCATGCAGATGTGCGCCGCACGCCGAGACGTGTGTTTTGATTTTCAGGCAAAAAAGGACGAGGACGAGGAGGACTGAACCCCAGAGGGGAAACAAGCAGAAGGACCTGCGGGCTGGGCGGGGATGCGGTTGGCTTGGTTTGGCAGGTTGCGAGTTTCGTGGGGCTGGGTGATGGGTGTGGATGGTCGGATGGTTGGATGGCTTTGTTGCACGGTGGACTGGGACTCCTGGCAGTGGCAACGCACGAAAGAGCAGCCAAGCGAGCAAGCCGTGAAAAAAGTGTCGACAAAAACAGCAACGGCAGCGGCAACAGGACGACTTTGGGGCCCCAAAGGAAAACAGCAGCTGCACTTGTTGGTGTGAGTAACGAGCGATGCGGACGCGCCTTTTCCAAGCAAGAGGGTGGGTGGTTCTTTGAGTGGGTGGCTGGGTGGGTGGCCCAGTGGGTGGGTGACCCAACACTAACGGAATAATTGCAGGCAACTCCAAACGGA